TAGAAAGCCTTGGTATATTGAATATGTTCAGGTGGTTCCCCTCCCTCCCTCACACCCCCAACACATGCTTCCTTAGAATGATTCCAATTATAAAAGAATATTTTTTTTGTTGTTATGAGGGGAAACGAAACAATTGTTCTGGAAATCTGCTCCATATTTGAGACTCCTCAAGGCTTCAACAGGAAAATAATAAACTGACATGCTGAGAAGCTGAGTCCTGCCCCTTCCTGTCTGCCTCACATTGCAGACAGGTGTCTGGGTGGGAGACTGGTCACCCCTGTCAGACGGAGTTTCCTGCACTGTCTTGTTCTTGTCTGCCAGCCGGGCCCGGGTCACCCCATGAGGCAGATGTGGGAACAGCTGGTGTCTGCACAGACAAACAAGGGGAGGAAGGATGGAGAGAGCAGACAGACATTATTCTGGGCCAAGTGGCGGGGAGGCCCCTGCCCTGGGGACCGAGAAGAGGTTGAGGTGGAGAGTTGGCAAGAATGAAGTCTGGAAGAAGGTGTTGAGTGCTTAACTCTGGGCCCAGAGTTCATACCCAGGACTCTAGTCCAGGAGGACTATGAAACAGGAAGCCCACCCTCCAGAGGAAGGGCACGATGCAAGCCCATTGCAACATGCTGTTCAGAACACAGGTTAGAGGCAGGTGCCGTGCAGCCTAGACTCACCAGGTTTTCATCTCAGCTCTATCCCTTACTGCACATATGGCCTTAACCCTTCTCAGCCTCAGTTGCATCCTCTATAAAATGAGGATAGAAAGACAACATCTACAACAGAGCTACTGTGCTGATGAGATGAAATGACACATGTAAAAGCAGTTAACATTATGCTTGGCAAATAGCAAGCTCTTGATAAACAGGAGCTGCTAGTATTTGTTTGGAGTCAGGAAATTCTAAATCCTACACACGGCCCTGTCACCTTGTACGAATGACTCCACCTCTCTGAGCCTCAATCGTCCACTTTGTTGGGTTGTTCTGGAGTCTGAGCTAATATGCGCAAAGATTCTAACCTATGGCCAAGCACATAGTAAGTGCTCAATTAATAAAATTACTGTAATTTACGAAGATGCATGAAGCAAATCTGACCTATTAACGAGTTTCTGAGTGCCAGGCTGGGTGCTTATGGGCAGGGAAATGCCCATGATATGGAACTGGGACCAAGAGTAGAGGTGGGAACTAATCAGGACCAGCAGGTAAGGGCAAGGGGATGAGAGGAAGGAAGCCAGCCTCTGGCCCCACTCCTGCTCTGAGAGGCTTCCTGCTGGGGAAGCTGGAGACGGAAACCAGGACTTTTTTCCACTCAGGGGAAACTCCTGTCTGGGATGATTGGCAAGGCTGGGAGCCTCCACACCTCCCCACCCTGTCTTTGCTGCTGGGAAACGCTGCTTTCACCTTTGCCAAGGAGAGGGGTCCCACACCCTAGGTTCCCTGGCAGTCTGGGCTCACAGTGAAATGCTCCAACTGGAACTGGGAGGGTCCTGCCCAGGTGCGCTGAGGACAAGGTCCTAGCCTCACCTACTTTCCTCTTCTGAGACTCAGCCCTGTGCAGCAGAAAGAGCTGGGCTTGTGAGTCAGACAGAACTGGGTTTGAATTTGGGCCTTGGCACTCGCAGCCAACTGAACTCAAGCAGGTCCCATAAGCACTCTGAGCCCAAATTGGTTCTTCTATGCAACGAGGATAATAGCAACCTATTGGGGTTGGCATGAGGATTAAAGAAGATAACGGAAGTCAAGTGTCTGGCAGGGTCTGACATATGCAGCAGTTCGCTTAGGGGTGTTTTGTATTATTATCTCTTTTCTCCATCTATTATCTCTCTAAACCAGTCTACTGCAGGGAATAGTTCGGTAGGTACAAGAGAGTACAAAGGTTTCAAGAAGTTGGAGTTTAGGTAGAAGTTAGACTGGGAAAATTAAATTGTAGAAATATGACTTCAATTTGAGACACCTTCTCTAGAAGTCAGACTTCCAGAAATCTTGAACCTAAAGAAAGCTCCAAACACTTCTGAACAACTAATAATTATGGCAAAGCCATATGCACCATAAGAGAGGCCTTTAGACTCTCCAATCCATATGTCACACATAGTTCTAAGAGCTCTCTCCATTCTGCCCCCAACCACTCTCCACCTTCACAAGGAAAGCTCCTACTCATTCTTCAGGTCTCAACGTAAACGTCACTTCCTCAGGGAAGCTTTCTCTCACCTTCACACTGTTCTCTGTAAGATCCTGCACCCTTCCCTCATTGCCCCTTCCACAAAGGTAATTCAGTGCATAGTTGTACAGTTCACTGCCTAATGTCTGGCTCCCCTAATAGACTACAAGCTTCACAAGGGCAAGCACCGTGTCTGTCTGGACTCTGCCGTGTGCACACAGCCTGGTCCACTTTTCAGCCCATAGAGATGCTCGATGAACCTGCATCTCATTGCATGGAGGAAGCTTGGCCATCTGCATTCTGCAGCCTTAGCCAACAGGAAGGAACAATAATTTAAAGTAGAAGAAGAGGATCTTTTAACACAGAAAGCCAAAGCTATGTTTATGATGTGGGTGAAATAAAGAAAGAAAAAAGAAGCCTAAGAAGTATATTCAGAACTAGCAAAGAGACTGACTCTGGGTCCCTCAGTAAAGAGGCAATTCTCATCTCAGGGCCCTGGAGTCTGAGATTGCTTCAGCCAAACCCAGTATAGGAACAGAGAGCCAAAATGGCCATTAGATATATATATGTATATGTGTGTGTGTGTGTGTGTGTGTGTGTATATATTAATTTAGAATCTGCACCTGAAACTCAATCTCATGACTTCATGTCCCACCACACACTCTGTAGAAACAGCAATCTGTTTAAGGAAGTTTCCCAATAAAAATTAATTAGTTTTATTTCTTATGTTTTAATACGTAAGCTATAGTTGGTAGGAAAATTATTTTAATCAGAGCTGCTCTTTCTCCAAGTGATGGTGTCAGATGAATAACGTGTCATAATTCTACACAAACTTCTATTTAAAACACAAACTTCACTGTCCATTCACTTTCAAAAATGGCTGACTCCAGTGATGTGAAACAGACACTATTGTACACTGTGTTCATTTAACAACAGTTATCAAGAGCCTTAAAAATGCTCACACCTTTTATCCTAGGCATTTCAATTCTAAGAATCAATTGTAAAGGAATAATTAGAACTATACAAATATTTATGTGTAAAGATGTTCATTAGCATTATTATTTATCATTGTGAGAAACTGAAATAACTCAAAAGTTAAAAATAAAAGTCAGATGTAAATGATTACACAAATTATTGTACATCATAACCATATAATAAATAGTAATATAGCAAAAAAAACACCTGAGAAGTTTATACTAAGATCAGATAATTCTTATGTGTAAGATTTCCTGCACAACCAAAACCAAACCAAAACAAGATCCCAACTAGAAATGCAGTAATATATACATAAACACAAATACCCACATACTTATACACACAATAAAATATGGCAAAAGAAAAGCAGTGGTTATCTTTGCATTGTAAGATAACCGGTGAATTCTTTTGTTCTTTTCTACTTTCTGGATTTTCCAAAAAGTAGAATATGTATTGTTTCATAATTGGGAAAAATAATGAAATTCATTAACATAAAATGCATTGTATTCTCCTGTACTTGAGCAGAAAGTGTATACCTTCAGTGTTTTATTAAAAAAAAGGGGGGGGCAGCCATGCTGAGAGGTGTTGCCCATACAGGACTAAGTCATCCCAGAGAACCAAAGCATCTTTATTCAGCAACCAAAAGATGCAGTAACAGGCCTCCGATTTGAGTGTGTCCCTGAAGTCTTACCCTATTCATCCCCTGCATTTTAAGTCAGAACATCTTTCTTGAAGGAACTAATTCTCTTAAAGATGTTGCAATATAAAGGGCCTTGGATAGGAAGCCAGGAACCTTATTCTGTTTCTATCAGTTACTCTGCCATCTTAGACAAATCATTCCTCCTTAATGGGCCTCAGGGCCCCCATTAATGAAATGAAAAGTTTGGACCGGATAATCACAGAGGGCTCTTCAGCCAAAGTAACTAGGATTCTTTGACCTTTCTGTCTCAAGAACATAGTTCCCTTCTTTAAAATGAGAGATCAGGTCAAATGATCTTTGAGATCAAATGATTGTTCAACTCAGACTGTAGATGAATATAAAACTAGAAATCATTTGCCATTAACTCATTCACCCCAAGAATATTTCTCAACGAGGTTGCCCACGTTGACCACCACTCCCCCAGCTCTCAGCTAAGGCCCCAAACTCTGGTCCCAGCTCTCATCAGAAGGAAAGTAGAGGTGGCCATTGTTCCGTGAGTGGTTGATATGCACCTCAGTTGAATGTTCTAGTTTTACTATAAACATTTGAATCCTAACACACAAAGGAAGAAAATCACAATGAAGACCACACCTCCTAATTCCACAGATGTGAACACGAAAGAGATTATAAAATGCCCAAAGGCCGTGACTGACCTTTTTGGAAATGTCCCATCTTCTCTCTTCCCCTACGCTTTAGCCATACCCCCTAAAAATGCATGTTCTTGCTAGAATTTTACATGCCAGTCTCCTGCCCCAGACATTCTTTTCTTGGCCACCTCTCTACCCCTTCCCCTCATCCCTCAAGTTTCAGCATTAATGCTGATCTCTCTGCAAAGCCTTCTCCAACCCCTTGCCTGGGCCCTCACAGCACTCTGTTCTTCCCTTCTAAAAGTATTTATTGCACTTTTATTTGTCTGCTTCCTTGTCTGACTCTAAGCTTTGAAGGTAAGGGACCACATTTGCAAAGATCATGCATGAGCCTCCACACCTAGCTCGGGGCTCAGCATATGATATTTGTTCAAGTACTGAGTAAAAGAACAAAAAATACAATACAATAAAGGTTATAGGCAAGCTCTGACACAACCAGGACAACGGGTTGTCCAGCATGTGGGGGTGATCCTGGCCAGCTGGGAGGCCTGCAGGTGTTGGCTGCCGAGGGGTGCACACTGGCCTACCTTTTTGGTCTTCACTGTAGAAGCACAGCAATCCCCACCATCGTAGTTGCAGAAGGCTCTGTTGTTGATGGCATCACAGTAATTGTCTCCCATGAAGGGCTATAAAGGGAGAGAGAGGCAGGAAGGAAAGGAGGCATTATTAGCATCCTGGAGTGAGTGGGGGATGGCCTCTGCAGTCATTTAGCTGTCTCTCATCTTCTCAGAAACCTCTACTGTCAGCCCACCTGGCTTCAAATCCCGACACCCCTTGGACAAGTTATCACTTCTGCCATTTATAAAGACTCTTGTAGAGCCAAGTTTTTCCCAACTAAAGTATAGGTATGCTGGGAGACACACTCTTGTATGCTGGGGTATGCAAAGTCACAGGATAGACCATTTATGTCTTCCTGATGTAGGGGGCTCATTTTACTTGAAGAAATGATACGAAAATTTGAGTCCCCTTCCTCCACTTTTCCTGGTAGTAGGTAATTAAACATAATTTATTATAAAATACATGCAAATATATTAGGAAGCTGAATGTAAACTGCCCAAGAATTGTAAAGATCAAAAATAAGAATTCATAGCAATTTGGCACAGTGGTCTGAGTATGATTGTGGGCTCCCTCTCCTCTAAATAGGTATATAGATGCATTCGATGTCACAAGCTTTACTGTTTGTTTTCTTCTTCTGTTCTCAGAATCACATGAGAGGTGGGCATTACTATTCCCACTTCACAGATGAAGACTCTGAGGCTCAGAGCAAAAAAGGGACTCAGCCAAGATCACACTGGCAGAAGCAGAGTAGTGATTTAGATCTAGATTGGCTCCGTATTTTTTTCTTTACCATTCTAAGCTCTATCTAGCACATTGACTTATTTCTTTTCTTTCCTGTGTTCCTCCAACTCTGTGATGCTCCAAAGATGAGGAAAAGAGGATAGAAAGTCCTTACTGATCTGAACCCAGAGCCAGCTTAGGGGAAAGTCAGGAGTCTCTGTGATCCCCCTAGTACTTGCATTTCCCCAATCCAAGCACTCAGCACACTGTCTTCTATGGTCTGTTTATGTATCTGTAGCTGTGCAAGACTGTGAGCTCCTCAGGGACATGAGCAATATCCAGTTCATCTTTGTCTCCGAATCACCTAATTTAATGCTGGGCAGAACTTGGCTCTTAGAGATGTTTTTGAAAGGGAATGTAATTGTATTGGCATAGTGTAAAGGCAGTTGGCAGGAGTTTAGAAAACCTGAGTTCTAGTCTTCCAAACCTCAGCCAACTGAGTGGTTACTTGTTGATTTTGGTTAAGTGGCTTATCTTCTCTGGGCCTCAGGACTCTCAGTTGTGAAATAAAGAAGCAGGATTAGCCCACTGATTTCTCAAAGCAATGAACAGACCCCTTTCCACATCAGAGGCACTATTGTGTGACCTTCTAATATAGAAAGCAGATGAAAGTGAAATCACTCTGATTAAATTTCGAGTTGGGGTCTCTAATGCTCAGTGACACATTCATGGGAAAGAAAATGTCATCAGTTGTCTAAGACCATTGCATCCCAGTACAGCCCCTGTGATCCATTGGTCTCTCCTTCCTATCCTGACTGTTTTGGGGAGAACCAAGCTCACAAGGAGTCCTTCCTATGTGGCACGCCTGGCTTTTGCATTTCTGCTCCAAATTCACAGATTCTTTGTGCCCCCAACTCATAATGCCAGATTCCATTTCATCACTACCCCATTAGGGTCTAAAAAATATCTTAGCAAGATGGAGCCAAGAACAGGCAAGAGCTGTGCTCAGGTGTGTGTGCACATATGCATGGCTGTGAGCACAGGTGTGACTCTGCTGTGTGACTGCCATAATGAACACATTATTATATTCATATTAGAGCAGAGAGGCACAGACAACAAGTGAACAAGGGATAAGCCTTTGCTATTCTCTGTACCCTAGGAGATCTGCCTGTGCGCTCTGTTCTTTATGTTCTTGCTCATATAATATGTGAACAGACTAATGAAGGAAACCAAACGTCTCTTCCTTAGGATGAAAGGAACTGGCTTGGTAAAGGACTAGCTAGGGAAGAAGAGGAAGAAAAGAAAAAATAAATGAAAATGGTTCTTTTTTCATTTGGCCCCTGAAAAAACCTCCAGTCTCATCACTAGCTACTCTCTTCTATGTGTCCTTTCCTACAGCCACATCCACGCATCCATCCATCAGTCCATCTATTCATCCATCTACCCATCTATTCATCCATCCATCCATCTACCCATCTATCCATCCATCTACCCATCTATCTGTCCACCCATCTATTCATCCATCTATCCATCTATTCATCCATCCATCTTTCCATCCATCTACCCATCTTTCCATCCATCTACCCATCTATCCTTCCATCTACCCGTCTATCCATCCATCTTCTACTCAACCCTATTTATTGAATGCCTACTATGTGTTACACATTGTGCTAAAGAAAAGGATATAATAGTAAGTCAATATAGATATAGCTCCTACTCCTCTAGACCTTACACTTTAGTGAGGAGGCAGACTTTACTCAAATAAGCACATATCTAATTGGCCAATTTTAACTCTGATAAGAGCTATGGAGGAAAGGTCCATGATGCTGTTAAAGTGTAGGAGGAATTGACCTAATCAGGGAGCTCTGTGAAGGTCTCCCTGAGGAAATGACGTTTCAGCTGAGATCATAAGATGAGTAGGAGTTAATTAGATGGGGGTGGAGAAGGGAGAATTTCTAGAGAGAGAGAATAGCATGTGAAAAGCTTGGCTACTTAGAGATTTCTCCTGTCTCTGGTATTTCTCATGCTGCTGCTTCTACTAATAATGTGTTCAGGCAAGCAATTCATCCTTCAAGATCTAGCTCAAACATTGCCCTTCCAAAATGCCTTCACTAATGCCCCCAGGATGTTCTGTGCTTCTATAGCTTTTTGAACTTGTTTTGGTTATGGCTCTTGGTAGAAATTTTAGAATTCTCTCTTTACTTGTTTTAAAATTCTCTCTTTACTTGTCTATCTCCTTTACTATTCTGTGAGTTCCTTATGGACAGGAATGTGTGTCATCTATTTTTGTATCCCAGATTTCCAAGCAAAATGCCTGGCAATTTGAGCAAAACTTTATCAAATATATGTTCTATAAATATTTATTTAGTAAGATGATGAATACATGGATGCATGGATGGATACATAGATGCATGAATGGATAAGGGACAAGAAGATACCACAGATGAGTCAAGGAGAGCACAGTTACTGTTTGCACTTGACTAAGACCATTGTGTTCCCAGAACCTAGCGTAGTGCTGGGCACCTAATAGGCACCCAGTGAAGCTTTAATGAACGAGTGAATGACCACTTTGGACACAGCTCGGGGCAGAGGGCAGGGGTTTCAGGGGTACCAAAACCCATTCTCGATCTTGGCTACCTCTAGACACTCCAGGTTGATGGCTCTTCCCTGGAGCCAGTATTTGCATCTCTTCTAAGCATACTTTTCAGCCCCAGACAAGAGACGAACTATTAGCTCTAAGCTAAGGAGGAAAGGACACGAAGGGGCACCTGCAAGGGCAAAGGCGATAAGCATCATTGGCAAGACTCAGAGCCTGACAGGTAAGGGTCTCTTAGGCCCCAGTGCTGAGTCAAAGGAGGGATCGAATTCCGCTGTCACACTGGTTGCCCAGACGGCCGACTCAGCAGAATGAGTGCCCAGGTAACCCAAGCTTCCTTTTCCCAAAAGGCTAGACTGATTCAGAGAGATGGAAGGAAGCAACAGCCACAGGGCCTTGGCCTTTGTTCTACCATTCTTGGCTGAATCTTTGAATAATGGGGGTTCTTAAAAACTACAGTGTCCAGCGCCCTGAGAAGATGCCACAGGGTGTCCCTAATCAATACACAGAAAGAATTGTGTGACCCAGGGACTCCCTTGTGACACTTACAAATCAGGGGATGGTTCATGGGTTGGAGGTAGCCTGGTGGAGGAGAAAAAGCATCAGCCTGGAAGCCAGGAGACCTGGGTTCATGCTTTGGCTTTGTGTCTATTATACTGTGCAACCTTGGGTCAGTCCATCCCCTCTCTGGCTCTCTTTTTCCACTCTATACAACAAACGAGTAGGGTTTGATCACACTGAGAATCCTTCCATCAAATTCTAGACCTGGCCACTGTCTACGTCTCAGTTTCTCCATTTTTAAAATAAAAGGTCAGGTTTAGTTCATCTAGAAGAGCATTTCTGGTTGTGATATTCTAAGAATTTCAACAAATACAAAGTTTTCCAGAGCTAGTCCTTTTCACTTGGATTTTCCTGAGTGAGCTCTGGGGGAACCACAGAGATTTAGACATCCCCCTGGATGGGACTTGGGGCCTCCTTTTCACTGCCAGCTGAGAAGAACCACAAGGGGAATAGGTATGCACAGAAAATCTCGAAGTTCCATGAGCAGCACTGCCTTGAGAATACAGATGACAGTCCAAGTACTCTGTCCCTGCCCCTCCCCAAGCTGGTCACTGATCTCCATAATGCCAAGTTCCAGGGGATGGCTCAACTGTGAAGTCAGAGAATTGAAGCGTCAGAGAGGATCTTCCACTTTCAGCTCAGTGGTTGGGTCTATAGTGTCCATATTACTTCTGGGGTTGAAGAACAAGTGAATGACAAACACTTATGGCAGAAGGAAGTGATACACAGGCAATGGTCATCAGTAAAGTGGAAATTTAGAAAAAAAATAAAGTGCTTCATGTAGTTCTGTACAAGTTAAATGTGATAGTGTTGGTAAACCGCATGACCAATAGTGTTGGCATATTATAGATGCTACATCAGTATGCCCTCCCTCCCACCTCCCCATCTCCCTTACAGATGCAAAGTTACATTGAACACACACTTTGGAGCCAGAAATACCTGGCTTGGAATCCCAACTCTGTTACCCATCAAATGTGTTTTTGAGTATATTTGTTGATATCTCTGTGCCTCAGTTCTATGGTCTATAAAATGCGATTGCTGATTCCTGTCCAAGAAATCTGTTAAAGGGATATTTACAGCACTTAGTAGGAATAGTAAATGGTAGCCATGATTAATATAACAACAATAATAACAGTAGAATCATTTCTAGAGACTCACCTCACAGCCTTTGACACAGTGAATCAGAGCAGGGTGAGGATACCACTTGAGACCAGCCGTGCAGACAACTCTCTGCAGGGAGAGGGAGAGAGAGGTGAGATGGGTTTGGGGCTGGGAGGGAGCCATCTCTTTGTTGGCACCACATCCAACCACTCCGTCTCTTCTTGGATCTTCCAAGTCCTGACCTCCCCCTGGCACTTACATGGAGAATTTGCCCAGGTACTTGCAATAACAGGAGCCATAAGATTAAAATAACATTTGTGTTCATGTAAGTGTCATGATTCTGTATTTCCCTGGCAGGAATAAGGGCTGAAGAGAAGCAGAACTGAGGGATGGAGATATGATCAGAAAGGCCCTGCAGGAAATTCTTGGCTGATGTTTGACCCATGGATGGTGTTGGGAATAAGGTGGGCAGAGTGTGTGTGTACACGTGTGTGTGCATGTGCATGTGTGTTTGTGTGCACGTGTGTGTGTGGCAGCAGCGGGAAGATGGGAGAATGGGGTGGAGCAGGGTTTCCCAAAGCATGCGCTGAGGACCACTCTCATCACGATCACTGTGAAGAGCAGAGTAAAAAGACAGATTCTTCGGCGCTGCCTTGGATCTAATGAATCCAATCTCTGAGGCCAGGGCCTGGGATTCTGCATTTCCAAAACAAGCCTCCCAGATGATTCTGATACATATTACAGTTTGAGAACTGTGGGCTGGAGGATGAATGAACTAACATTTGGTTCGGAACTCAGGCAGACCCAGAGAGCACCCTTCCTGCTTCCACCTGCCGCCATGCTGTAAGGACCAGCTCACAATTTCCTGAGGTTGCCCACACTTTCCTATCCCTGTGACTTTGTTCTTGCTGTTGCCCTTCACTGAAATGCCCTTCCCCATCGTGTCACCTGGAGAATCCTTAGTTACCTTGTAAATTTCTGCTCAAGACTTACTTGTTCTGCAGTGCTTTTCTCAACCCCCTTGGGCAGAGAAAAGGTATGCACATATGTATTTATTTATAGCCTCCTTTAATAATAATTATGATGATGATGATAATGACAACTAAAATGTATTAAGTGCATTCATGGTGCTAATTACTTTATGCATTATCTTATTTATTTCTTGCCGCCATGCAGTGAGGTGGGCATTAATCTCGTGTCATAGGAGAATAAATTCCCCAAACTCCATAGCTGCTAGGTGGAGAAATCAGGATTTGAAACCAAGCAATTGTTTTGGAAATGATTTAAGGCAGCTCGTAACATAAAATCGAACGTGATGATAATTCTTAAAGTAGGTGAAAAAAGAAAGATAAACAAAGCTAGGAAGATAAAAAAGCATCAGGAATGGGGTTAACATAACAATTCCAGAAGCTCCATTCTCTATTCTGCCATAAATGCCTTACTTTTCATGCCAGATTACAATGATTTCTTTAAAAAAATATAATAAAAATAAGAAAGGGGCAAATGCTTAGATTTGCAATGAGAAGTAAGTGTCAGGGACCAGCCGTGGAAGTCTATATGATCAGGGCTTGCTCTCCTGGCTAAGTGTCAATTGATTAATTTTGATTAAGAAATGAATAGTCACATGGGCCAGAAGGTGGAAAATCCATGTGACCAGCCCATTCTCTCCCTGAGGGCAGACCTATATGGGAGCCAAACTGTAATTAGGTTTCTTGGTGAGCTTGGAACAAAGGGAATTTCGTGATGATCTGGCTAATACTGGGTTGGGTGCCTTTCTTCTCTGCCTTATGGCATCTCCGGTTCACCCTTGGGTCTTCCATGCCTGGAATGGTGCCTGGCACATGGAGGATGCCCAGTAAATATTTATGTTACACATGAATGGATCCATCTCAAAATAGAGATTTCATCAATGGACAATATTTTCTTTACTTCTCTGTCTTCTAGAGCATCAGAAGAGCATTTACAATGCCTAGCGCGGTGTCTAGTTTAGAGGACCAATTTGGCATAGATTGAATTAAATTAAAGATCTTGGACAAAAAATGTAACTTGAAGATCTACCAACCAGTCTCGCAATGTGAAATCTATCTAGCCCCCTACTGCCTCTGTTGACACTATCTACCTTCTCCCCATACACACACACAAGGTGATATATGGGAAACACCTTGGGCATTGAGGTACAACAGATGTGGTTGCAATCCTGACTTGAAATTGCTTTGTAAATTTCCACTCTGAGGCTTGGTTCTTCCATCTGTGAAATGGGTACTGAAAATTTCATAGGCTTGTTATGATGATGCATTGAGATAAATGATGTGGAAATGGTTAACCTAGGACCAATTTCTTAAGGTTCTTGAGAGTAGGGCTTGGGTTTTAGACATCTTTGTCTCCCCCCAGGATCAGGCATGGAGCACAGCAAACAAATACATGTTGACCAAATGAAGGAATGTGAGTAGCTCCAGGGTTCCTTCCTTCCAGCTCAGCCACCTTTCTTGCCCTTTGCTTCCCAGCTGTTGGGCCAGAAGTGGAGAGAATCACCTGCTTTCATGCTCTGGGAAACTTTAACCAGACTTTCATCCCTGGGTCTGAGAGTCTGTTCCCAGCCCAAATTCAGAGATGTTGCAGGGGTGTTTGGTAATGCTTCAAGTAGTAGAAAACAGCAGGGTTAGGATCCGCAAGGCATTTGATGCCCATCCCTCCCCCTGTTTATTTGAGAGCTAATTTAATCCATCTGTAGGAGTGTCTTGCTGCGGTTGTACAAGTTTCTGTCAGTTGAGGTTTACCTGACGTGAGTTCAGAAAAAGGACTTTTATACTATCTGCATGAGCCTATTTATCTTTCCAAGAGTTTTGGATTTTCCACGATTCCTTAGGGGTCACGCCCCACCTGTCTCACTACAGGGCCCCTCTGTATGCAAGGAGACCTGAGAAAGGAGACAGGCACTGAAGGAAAGGCTAGGCTGTTTATACCACAAGTTGGGAGATCCCAGATGGGGCCCCTCGAATGTCAGCCTTGTTCCTCTTGGTGCCACTGAGACCTCTAGCCCAGTCAGAGTCTTTCAGACCAGGTTTTATAAGATGGCTTTCATTTCCTGTCTTGGTGCAAAGGAAGAATAGACTGTCTTTTCTTCCTGGCTGCAATGACCATCAGCATAAACACCATCACCAATACCACCATCATCATCTTCAACAACACCAGCACTACCACCATCATCATCAACACCACAGCCAGCACTACTACAGTCACCTCCACCAGCACCACCACTATCATAATCATCATTAACACCCGCACTACCACCACCACCACCACCACCATCATCATCAACAACACCAGAAGCTCCACCAGGACCACCATCACCATCATCATCATCAACACCACTAGCACCTCCACCACCACCAGTACTATCATCATCTTCATCATCATCAACACCACCGTCAGCACTACTACCATCACTCCCACCAGCACCACTACCACTATCATCATCATCAATACCACCAGCACTACCACCATCACTTCTACCACCACTACCACCACTATCGCCACCATCATCATCAGCACCACTACCACCACTATCATCATCATCAATAAACCAGCACTACTACCATCTCTACCACCACCACCAACACCACCATCATAAACACACCAGTGCCTCCAGCACCAGCACTACATCATCACCGTCACTACCACCATCATCATCATAACCACAGCACTACCACCATAATTCCCACCACCACCATCATTATCAACACCACCAGCACCTCCACCACCACCACCACCATCATAAACACACCCGTGCCTCCACCACTACCAATATCATCATCACCATCACTACCACCATTATCATCATCATCAATAACACCAGCACTACTACCACCACCATCATCATCACCACCAACAGCACCTCCATCATCACCACTACTATCATCATCTTCATTATCATCATAGCACCATCACCAACTCTATCACCATTATCCTCATCCTTATCAACACAAAATCCTCTATTAAGCAATATTATCACCCCAGCCCTGTGCTCAGAGCTTTCATCTATTTAATTCTTACCATAACTATGAGATAGGTACTATTTTTGACTCTGGTTTACACAATAGGAAACAGAGGCACAAAGAAGTTAAACAACCTGCCCGGAATCATACACATAGGCAATGACAGTCAAGAATTAAACCCACATCTGTCTGATTTCCAGGTCTATACTTTCAACACTACACTCTCCTTCAAATTCCCCTAGTCCTTGAAGCTATAAGTATAAAATAGCTTACCGTTTTGACCAATGGAAAGACCAAGGTTCAGAAAGGTAGAGAGGCTTTGAGATAAATGTAGGAGGGGGGCAATGCCTGAAAGATGAAGCCTAGAGAAGATGGGCGCCAGGCAGAGCCGAAGACGTGTGAGAAAGCATCTTAAGAGAGCCTCCTCATCCTAAGGGCCATGTCTGACACTCCTTCTGATATCTTGTAACATGAGCCCTCTTTCCTCCTTGATTTTTTGCTTTATTTATGGGACATTCTGTGAGTGATTTATATCATTTAACTTATTTTTGCCTTTTGATATCAATTACTGAGCTTCTGGCTTTCTTCTGGGTAAACTTTTTAAAAGCCTAGGCATTTCCCACTCTGTATCCCTTGTGTTTGAAGAATGCCTGCCATTTGGAGGTGCATAATCAATGTTTTTGAATGAGTGAGTGAACAAATTACCAAATGACTGAATGTATGAATGCATCCATGAGTGAATGAGAAATCGCTGGATTCTGGACACATCTCTCTATCTATGGGCTTCCCCTCCAGGGCACGTATCTCCTTCTATACATCAGAGAGACTGGACTTCATATTCCCTCAGACCCATTCTACTTGTGAACTTTAGATTCTTGGCAGGGTTTTCCATAGTGCTGCCTTCTGTTCAAGGAATGAATTCTGCATCTTCGTCTGCAAATGTTGCATATGTTTATGATTTATAATGTGTAAGGTGGTTGCCTTGCAGGACGGAATGCAGGAGAATTAGCCCTGGATTCAAATTCTGATTAAACCACATTAGCTATATGAATTGGGCAGTGACAACCTCTCAGAACCTCAGCTTTTTCATTTGTAAAATGATGATAAAACTTATCTCATTGGGGTGTAGTAGAGACAAAATGAGGTGGCGTATATGGAATTGCCTAACAAACAGTGCCTACATATCATAGATATTCAATAAATTGTGATTTCCCTTTTCTTTCCTTAATTACCTCCCTCCTTCCCTCCATCCTTTTCTCCTTTCCTCCCTTTCTTCTTCTCTTTCCTCCTTCTATCCTTTTTCCAGAAGCCATAATAAAAGCCAAGGTCCCAGCTACTGAGAGGAACTACCAACCTCTAAGGTTGTGAGCTGCATTTTTAATTGGGAAACTCTCCCAGCACTCCTGAACAAGCGGAAGGGCAGGGCAGATTGGAGGTACTCCTTAGGAGCTGGCAGGAGAGAGGCTGCCACCCTGAATTCTAGATGTTCAGGGCTGGAAGAGTCTATCTCATCCAAAAGTTGTAAGCCAACAACTTCCAGGCTACACAACCCACAGAAATGTTTGGTTTGGCACACAAAGTGCTTAACAGAAGTCAAAATTATTTGCCAATATTAAAAAAAAATGAGAAATTTCATATTTTAAAGACTCCAGATTTCTTGTACTCAAGAAAAATGGAAAATCTGGCCACACTAGACCTACATTTCCACATTGCCACACTAGGCTAGAGTCTCCCCCTTTGGAAGCAACATGTGTTTTCCACAGTTCACCACAGTCTCCACCATTCCATTCAGTGTCTCCAGCAGCAAGCCTGAGGGACATTTCCATCTATCACTGCGTTTGTATTGTCTCATTTATTAGATTAGAGGAAGACTTCTCTGTCTCCCTGTCACTTTCAAAAGTGCATATGTATGTGTGTGGGTGGGGCTTCAGAGGAGGAGAATTTTTAAAAAAATAAAGGGACAGAATGTTTTCCTTTGTGAAAGTAAAACTAAAAAGTTTTAGTACACCTGAAACTAATATGATGTTATAGATCAATTATACCTCAATAAAAAAGAAAAATAAGCAAACTGATAGAGGTGACCTTGGTGGGGCTGGTGCATTGCCTGGCATGGGGAGGGAAGGCCTCTCTGGGGAGTTGGAGAGGTCCCCATCCCGACTTGGGTAGTAGTTTCATGAGTGGACACAAACATAGAAATTTATCAAGCTTTATGCTTAAGATTAGCATGTAAGTTGTATCTCAATAAGAAGAAAAGAACTTCGACTATATTTGTAAAATGTTCTTTCTTAAGTTGGGGAGTATGTACATGGGTGTTTGTTATATTTTCTTTAAGTCTTTCCATCTGTCTGAAATGTTTATAGTAAATATTACTGCTACTATTAATAATTTGTCTAGGTATTTAATATACAAAATGATGTACTTGGCCTGCCTCACCCATTTATTCCACTTGCCTGGTTCCCATAGGTGTTTGAATTTGTGACTCTCCATCTGGGCCTAGCCTCATGTCACAGATGGGGAAAGTGCGGCCTAAAAAAGTGATAGGATTTGTCCAAGGACATACAGTGAGAAGGTTCCTGGGCTTGAACTAGAACCTTGGTCAGCTGACTCAGCAGTCATAAATATTTAGTGAGCATCTACTATCTGCTAGGCATAGAGGGGCGTACATGGTGAATAAGATGACCCCAGGCTGCCTTCACAAAAGGCACTAGTCATAACGCATGACCTCACTGTTGATATTCCACTCATCTAAGTGGTCATCAGTCTCTTCATGTGTGTCAATATGTGTAGCATGCTTACAACAGAGCCTGTCATGTGATAAGCATGTGGTGGGCTGCAGCCGGCTTGCATGGGCTCACAAGGGGCAATAGTGCCCATCTCTTCCCAACCTTCTGTGCAGTGACAGCAACCTGGAAAACATGACATCTGCCATGGTGGGAACATTTACACCACAGGAAACAGCAAATGCTACAAAGCAGAGTTCGTTTTTTGTGGACAGCCAGTCATTAACCATTTACAAGCACATCCCTGGTAAGCAATCAGTAAACATTTTGCTTTTATTATTATCATTGTACATTCAACAGAGGCTGCATGGGTACCGGGAGTAAACTGCAGCATTAGCATGACCTGAATGCCCCTTCAGTTCCTTAGGCAAGCGGCTTCTATCCCTGAGATTCCGTTTCCTCCATTGGAAAAATGGAGAGACTAGTACGCAGGTCATAGGGCGGTGTGTGTATGTGGGTGTGTGTGTGAGGGGTCGAGGGCTGCAAATAAAGGATGAAAGGTGCTTGATCCAGTGCCCGGTTCACAGAAGACATCCATTAAATGTGAGGTCTCGCCTCTCACTTTCTTACCCTGGGGACAAGGTGACAGGAGGAGCAGAGCCTTGTCCCCGAGCATCTACCTTGCACTGTCATTCGGAGGCAGACCCTCAGAAAGCAGAGCCACCCAGGGCCTGCTCCAGCCTGGCAACGCCTGCAGCAGCAGCTCTATTCTATAGCTCTCACCACACCAGGGGCAAGGGTGCAGCGGAGGCCAGCTTTTCTGCCTTATTCCTGGAAATCATCAATCTCTGCCCTTCGCCCTCCTCCCTTTTTCTGCCACATTTTTTTCCTCCTGGATAATGAGGCCTCCGGAGACCGGTGTAGGTCTGAACCTCGTTACGGCTCTCTCCGGAGGCCGGCATCAATAAAGGCCGGCAGACCGGGGAACTGGGTGGGGGCTGGGGCGGGCAGGCGGCGGGTGGGCAACTGGGGAGGGGGGCTTGCAGGCTTTCAAATCCCTGGATTTATTTCACAGTGAATTATGACTGAACTCTTTAGTGCCCGGTGCTCACAGAGGGAAGGGTGGGAATTCACCCGGGGGGGGGGGGGGTGGGCAGAGAGAAGGGTGAGTGGGAGCTGGGCCAGGGGAACCTGGTCTGGATCTCAGGCCAAGACCTCCGGGACTGGGGTGTGAGGGAGGTCTCCTGTGTCTGCTCTGTGTGGGAGTGGAAGTCCCCTGCCTTTGGGCATGTGGGAGTCAGGGTAGGGTAGAGGGAGGGGAGGGAGGTGTGGAAGGAGAGCTCGGAGCCGTAGCTCTGCTTCCTGTGTGACCCTGGCCTGGTCCCCTCCCTCTCTGCTCCTCAGTTTCTCCATCTGTACCACGAGGGGCTTGTGCGTGATGATCTCCAGCTTCCTGAGATTCTGACATACGGGCTCCGTGTGTGCTCCTGGGTGGGACCACATATCAGCACTCACTGGAGCGTTAGGTGAAAATCAATGTGGGACTCTGGGTGAGGAGCAGGGAAGGCATGTGGAGTAGAGGAAACAGGTGAAGGAGCCTGAGTTAGGGAAACAGAGCTGTCCCATGGATGCCTGCAAGAGGCAGAGAGACAGAGAGACACAGAGAGGATGGAGACGGAGGGGAAAGAGCGTGGGCAGAAGGGAGGCAGAACAAGGTGACAGAGGTGTTGGGACAGGGAAGAGAGAAACAGTGAAAATAGAGGCAGGAAAAAGGAAATAAAGTTGGAGATGGGGCAGAGAGCAGTAGAAGAAGAGCAAGAGGAAGGAGAAAGGAGGGAAGGAGAAGGCTGGGTGCTTAGGGGAGAGGAGGGCTGGCCAGGTCCAGCGCCAGATCTGTATGCCCTGAGTGCTGAGTAAGCCATGCCCTCAGCTCATTTGAGAAACAGGACACCCAGTATCGGGTTCTGCCGGGCTATCCGGAGTGTGATCTACAGCAGCAGGGCAGACGGTGGCGAGGCCTCCCAGCACGCCTGGCAGAAAGGCTGGTTGAGAGAGACATAGCTGAACCTCGCCCCGCACCCCCTGCCTCCTCTCACTTTCTCCAGGCTGAGGAGCCAGTGCCCAGAGCTGGTACATGAGGCCTGGGATCCGTGCTGCCCTGGAGGACAAGAGTAGGGTCCCCCATCAGCTCTGGGGGCCCCGATTGATCCAGGTGACATGAAAGAAAATGGGAGCGGCCAGCCCCAAAGCAAACCTGACAATGACACTGACTGCCAGGGGCCTACATGGTCTTCTGGCGGGGGGCATGCCAGCCTGGCACCATGGGAAGAGTTCCAGGCCTCACTCCGGGCCCATGACTCACCCCTGAGACCCTGGCGTCCGCAGTAGAGAATGCAGACAATGCCCCCTACTCCATACAACCATTCTGAGGTTTAAATGCAGCCTTGTGTGCCAAGTGCCGGGCATGCAAACACAGTAGGTGCTTCATAAACAATAGGTGTTCCTGGTTCTCCATATCACATATCAATGGCTCTCTACCAAACAAGTAAAGCATGGAGAAAGATACCAGGAATCTAGGCTGTGGTATGTGGAAGGCCTTCCAGAAGCTTATCCTAGAGAAGCGATATAGCACCATCCTTATGAGTATGGACTTCCCAGTCAGGCAGACACAGGGTTGTGACCTGACTCTGTGCCTTCTACCTATGTGTTCTTGGTGTCTCAGTTTCCTCATCTGTAAACTAGGGACGTTAATCCTCTTACACCTAGGCTGTCATCAGGATTCAGTGGGACAGTAAATAAAAGGTCCTTAGCATATGACCTGACAGAGGGAAACTATTAAATCCTTAAGGACTGGAGAAATGATTGTGAACAAGTCCCCATCCCACAGAGCAGGTGTGATGATTAGCTGATTTCACATATGTAAAGGGACTGATGCAGGACCAGGGCACAGTAAGCACTCCACAAGGTCATTTCCCTCCCCTTAGCCACAGGTAGGCAGCCCCGCTCACTCACCTCCACCCGTGTGGGGTTCAGCCAGTGGGGGATGTCACGTACGGTCACGTTCATCGGCAGGATGATGGACTCGCTGTTGTGGTCCAGGCATGAGGTGGCACACTCCGACCCTGAGGGGAAGCAGAGTGCATTCTGCTGATGCCCACGGGCTGCTCTCCTACAGTGTGGGCCCTGCTGCTCCCTGGTCCCCAGTGGACTGGGCCATCCCAGCCTTGAGGGCAGTGGGAAGGAGTGAACTCCACAGTAGGGCCTCCTCTGGTCTCCCTGACTCCGTTCTCTTGTCTCCAATCCAGCTGGCACCCACTGCCATGCTCTTCGGCCCTGAGCCCAGTTTGGTCATGCTCCTCCTCTGACTGAAAAACCTTTCCAAGTTTCCCCACATCCAGGACAGCGTCCAATCCTCCTTGCCTGGCATTCATGGCCTCCCATAGTCTGGTCAATCTCATCTCCCGTGAACCACCTTCACGCTTTGGTTGGTCCAACCAGACTGAACTGCACTTGGTTTTCCATCTGAGTCTCACACTTCCTCGCCTCTGTACCTCTGCTCCTATTCAGCCTTTCTCCTAAATCATCCCCCCATCTGCCTTCTCATGGTCAAATCCTATGGGTTCTTCAACACCCAGTTCAAATCCTCTGAAAAGCTTGCCCTGATTTCTGCAGTCGAATGAGAGCAGTGTTTGGCACTGACGAGGCTCCAGTGTTGGCCTTACCCCCTTGTGCCTCCTTTCCATAGTTACCGTGATGCCCTGGGAGGGCAGGGATGAGGTCCATTCATCTCTGAGCCTGACCCAGTACCTGACATGCAGGGATTGATCAGTAAGCATCAGCTGAGTGAATGGTGAGCACATGATTGCAACACCAGCTTCTTAGCCCCATGCTTTCTCCTTGCACAGGGCTTGTGTTCATGCCTCCCCTGTGCCTGCAAGATCCCTTCCACTACTTTTCAACTAGTGCATTACTAATGATCCTTCAGACCTCAGTCCAAGGGCCGCCTGCTCAGAGAAGGCCTCCATGCTTTCCTGACAGGCCAAACCCTATCATAGGCACCCATCACAGCATTTGTCAAATTATCACTTCCCATTGGTTACTGTCATGTTATATCAACAGCTCTCTTCCCTGCTGGACTGTAAACTCCATTGAGGCCAGCACTCCCTCTGCTCCCTGTTCTATGCCCAGAGCCTGGTGCTCTGCATGGCAGATGGTAGGTACTTAGCAAGTACTAAGTATTTGTGAAATGAATGAAAGAGATAATGAGTGAGTGAATGCCTAGATGGATGAGGAAATGAGTGAGTGAGTGAATGAACGGATGGCACAGTGAGTGAATGATGAATAGGCATTTAAGTATCTTATGAAGGAGGAAGTGGGTACATAAATGGATGAGTGAATGAATAAATGATTAAATAAATGGATAAAGGGATGAAAAAATGAATCAGGTAATGAGTCAATGAACATGGATGACTAACAAGGACAGGGTTAGTACACAGAAGCCCTCAGTCCAGGGACTTCTCGGTGAAGATAGTTGACTTTCAAGCTGTGGCTTGGCAAGTTGACCGTAATTTGCCTCACTCATTCTCTACCCTGACCTCACACGTTCTGAAGCCTCCTGAAAATCAAGCCTATCCCATGAGATGTCCCCAGGATTCCTAAAAGGTGCTCCTTCATGTTGGCAAAGAACTGACGTGTCAGAATCTGACCAGGGCCCTAAGGAGGTCACTCCCCTGCCTTAATGCCAAGACCACCCTCGAACACTAAGTGGTTCACAAGAGACAGTCAACTCTTTTTTTAAAATATTCTATTAGCCATTATAAAGGCTCCCTTCCAAATGTTTATACATATATAATGTGTGTCTATATATATATATATATAGACACACATACACACACATACATATACACATATATATATGCACACACACACACACATATATATATATATAGTTTATCTATCCCGTGCCCTTCCTGTTACTATCTCGTCATCCTCTTCAGTCTAAGAGACTCACAAGGACTCAGAGGCAATGAAGGCGGGGTGGCAGGTCCAGGACAATGTTTAGAACCTCTTCACTTTAAACACGGGAACACTGAGCCCAGAAGAAGGGAGATTCCTTGCCAGGTGGTTTTCATATGTCCCACATTCTCCTGCAAACACAGCCCTGTGAGACCGGTGTCACCACATCCATGTCACAGGTGAAAGAGCCAAGTGCACAGAGCTCAGGTTACAGAGCTGGCAAGTAGAGTGCCATGTATGAAACCCCATGTCTCTCTGCCTTCCAAGCCCAGCGATGGATGTGGGGGAGCCAAACAGAGGAAAGAGAAAGGAAGGCAGCAGTGGAGAGGGACAGAGAGGGGTGAAGGGCCAGAGGAGAGAAAAGATATGGGGCAAATGCAAAAAGACAAAAAAGATGAGTGATGAAAATAAGGGAGAAACCGCCAAGCAGTTGGAGAGACTCAGCGGTGTGTGTTTGTCACGAGATCAGTTCTAAAGGAGGTTTTAGGGAGCAAGGATGATGTGAGGTTGCGATGATAAAATTCTTTTGAAAAAAGAAGATGCAGCCTCTGAGAAATAGACAAAGGCTATCCTATCCCAAGAAGGGAAGAAAAGGAAAAAATATAGTCAACACAGGAGGCCATTGCTGCCCTATGCAGCAGTCACGTCTTAATTTCTTTCTCTGCATCTCCCTCCTCTGCACTCCCCTCCCCCACGTGCAGCTCCTGGGCTTCAAGACCAGGCTGCTGTGTTGTGATATATGAGCCCTAATTGGCATCATTACAGAGAGTGATCTCACCAGGCCCCCACCTCTCCTTCCCCGGAGGAGCAGGGAAGGTGGCAGCCATGGTGGCAGCAGCAACTTTCTGAGGGCTCCTAACTGCCATAGGGCCTCCCCATGCTGCTTGGGGAGGGGCCCAGAGGGAGCCGCTCTGGGTGGCTCCAGAATGTGCCCTCCAGCCTCCAAGCCCAAGACATGCGGACACCTACCTCACTCCTGTTTACAATCTCTCTCCTTGGTGAGGTGGGCTCTCCCCAGGGAGGGGCTCAGCCAGGCAGGTGAAGAGGAAAAGGGAACTGGGAGTCAGGGAGAGAAACTTGCTCTCCCTCCTTCCTTCTCACTGTCTTCCTCAGTGTCCCACGTGGCTTTTTCTCCCTTAGCTCTCCCCCACGTGCCCCCCCACACCGCATTACCATAGTCATAATAGGGGCTGCATGGCCGTGAACATGGGGTACATGGAGGGGAAGGAGATTCAGGTTCCAATGTCATACAGACTTCTTTCTCTTTCTGCTTCAACCATGAAAAAGCTCAATGGGTAAAGGAATGTTCTGTCCCACCCCTGCCTACCTCTAGACTGTTCTGAGGGCGAGTAGAGAGCCAAGCATTATGGCTCATTAGTGTGTGGTTGTGACACGTGCATGCAATGCATGTACAAAGTGGCCATGTAATGCATTTGTGAACATGTGTGTGTGCTATGTTTGTGAGATGCCTTTGGTGCATCTTTCTGAGTTTGATATGTTTCGGGGCATAAGACATGTTTGTACTCAAGACATATGTGTACTTACATGTCACACGTGTGTGTTCTATGTATAGCTGTGTGTGTTTGTGTGAGTGATGTATTTGTGTGGTATTTGGCTGATATGTACATGCAAGGCGTGAGTTTACTGCGTGATATGTGTGTTTGGGTCTATGTTTGGCTATTAAGCATTTGTGCTTGTGTTTATTTATGCATGTGTGAATATGTTTGAATGTTTCAGTGGATGTAGACATGTAGGAAATCTGTTTTTATAGGTTTTTTTTTTATAAAAGTCACTTAATCAGAATTTTTCTCCCAGGGCCACTTAATGCCAGTCATGAGTATGACTGAATATTCACTTGTATATCCTGATTGAGTTGGGGGTAGGGACCCCATCATAGACTTAAGTGTCCAGAGCCACACACACCCATCAGGAATGATGGAGAAGAGAAAGCCCTTGGGATGGAGCAGCCAATGCTACTTACCATTGCTACACCTGTTGCCCCAATCTTCTAGAACGCCTTTATTGGCAGGCCCTACAAGATCCCACCTCTCTGCAACACTCCTGGTCAGGGTCCTCTGGATTGGTGGCTCGGTAGGATCTTAAAGTACCTTCTGAATCATCAGAAAGAGCATGTGCTTTGGTGTTTTCTGACCCACGCAGAAGACAGTGCTCTGGACTAAATGCAAGAGTGCTGATTCCTACTCTAAGTTTAGATGAAGAAGTTTTGTGCTCTGAGGCTATGTGTTTCCATCTTTAAAAGGAGGCGGTCAGGCCACACACACCTCCACCCTCCGACTGCGGGCCTGGCTTCTGGACATGAAGTGATAACTCTGGTTTTGCTGGGTGCAGAACATGCTGGCTCTGTGTGACTGGGAGCGAGTGTGTGCACAGATAACCTTCTGCTCCAGACATCCCTGGTGATTGTCCCATAAATCACATTGGCCATGAGAAAGGACGTCCAATTCCCTGGGCTTTTCATCATGGTCAATTAGGGAATCAACCCAAGAGGTCAGCGTCACTGCCCTCAACTGAGGTCAGACTCAGTGCACGCCCAGTTCCCCAGAAAGCCTCGGAGCCCATGATTAATGCATCTGTCCAGATGCCTGGTTTCAACCAGGCAAATGCCTGGCATCAGACCCCAGGTTGTCTCCCCTTACTGTGAGCAGTTTACGAGCTGGCCTATCACCACACAAATAATATTTTGAAAATGCTATTTCTCCTCACTTTGGAGGCCACTGAGAGGCCATGGAAAGAACTCAGACTTCGGAGTAGGAGAGATCTCAGGATTCAGGGCATGTTCTATTATCCCTTTAAGTCTCAATTTCTCATCTGTTCAAGGTTATTGAGAGGATAAGATATAATGCCTCTAAAGTTCCTGGTCAGGGCCTGACCCTCATAGGTACCCATGAATGATTAGTATTATGCAAATTTTAAGATTAATAATAAAGGCAGCCACACTGAACCACGGTTGCTTTCCGAAATATGATGTGTGCTTTCACGTTTCCTTCCCTTTGCCACATGGTTCCTTCTGTCTGGAATGTCATTTCTTGCCCAACTAGCTCTTTCAAATCCCTGCATAAGCATCCCTTCCTCTGGGAGCCTTCTGTGTTCCCCGAGGCACTGGTCAGCTTTTCTGCACTCAGGTGTAACTATGTACAATCACCCGCCATTGCTTCACCAACATTTCTGGCCCTACCTCTCTTTCTGGGAGGACAGGGTCTGGTGTCATTCATCTTCGTTTTCCCAGTGCTTCACGCAGGGCCTCACATAGTAGAGGTGCCCCATTTCGCAGCGAGGCATTAGCGCTGAGTTCCCGGAAGGACTTGCCCCTCCCACTGCTCACCCTCATGCGCCCCTCATACCTATGGCATAGCCTTGGGGGCACTGCAGTTTGAGGTTGCTGTTGAGCTGGTCCGGGGCTGAGCACTGGCCTTGCATCTCCCGGCAGACGTGGAAGGAGCCGCTCCAGGTGCCATCCTTCCGGCAGTGGATGATGTTGCTCCCACGTCCCTGAACACCACGGAAACACAGTCAGGACCAAGAGAGACCCCCATCCTCAACATAATGAGCCTCTCCAAATAAAAGAGGAAACAATTTCTCATCTCCTCAGAGCTCTGAAAGTGTTCTGAAACAATTTCTTAACAATGGTGGAAACCCAATCACCCTAAAATAGAGGCATTGTTAATATCTCCATTTTACAGATGGGGAAACTGAGAACTCAGTGTGGGAAGAACTTGCTCAAAGCTTCCCAGAGAGCCTAACTCCCAGGTTTCCTAAGTCCTAGCTTAGTGGCCTCTCACAGGTTTCAATCAGAGGAATTTATTTTGCTGGTTGTGTTTTTTAACTGAGAAGGTAGGGGCCCAAAAGTACCCCACCTAGTGCACTGAGTAAGGGCATGGGTCCTGGAGCTGTTAGGAGATAGGTACGCACCCATGCTTGCTTTCTCTTAGCCAATGAGAAAGCCTCCTATGTCAGGGCTCTGCCATATGCTAAGCAGGCAACCTTGGCCTAGCTGAGACGCTTTCTCTTCCAGGGCACTTCCTCCCTCTCCTTTCCCTTCCCTCCCTCCCTTCTGCTCCATTCCATTCCACTCCAGCAATAAGGAACCAAGTGGGTGGTGTGGGGATACATCTCTCTGTGCCCTTCCTCCAATTCTTTGAAATAGGCAATACACCGTTTCTCAATCTTCTGCAAAGTGGTAGGAGAATGCAGCTTGCAGACATGGTCTCTTCTCCGAGCTCCCTTTCAGTGTCTAAGATTCTAATGAGAAGTCCAGCTCTGTAGGAATTTCAGAACTGCCCCTGAATTCAAGGGTCATTTCTTAGTGCCCACTCTGTGCCCAGCAATGTGGGGTTCAAAAGTAAAGTGAGCCAGTATCGGCCCCAGTGAACGGGCGGAGAGAAAGTCATGTGAGCAGCCAGTCACGTCAGTGTCACTGTGCTTGGTGAGAGTGCTGTGAGTACACGAGGAGAGTAACCCGTTGTGAAGAGGCAAGCAGGGAAGGCCTCTTAGAGGAGGTGATATATGGAAAAGAGTTTTTAAGGATGCATAGACTCACAGGCAGAACAGGGATGGAAGGACATTTCTGGAAGACCAAAAGACATATGCAATGCAAGGAAGTAGGGTGAGCAGCAAGAGAGCCCTCTGTGTGGTTCTGGTCTTGTGACCCAAGGGAGGAAATGAGGGACAGTGAGCTGGTGAGGCAGATCAGGTGTGGGGCCTTAAATGTCAGCTTATGGAGTTTGGACTCTACTCGTTGGGAATAGAGAACCATGGGTGGTTTCTGCACGGGCGGTCCATCTATCCGAGAACAAGCTGTATATTCTTTCCCTCCTTCAAGCTTATGATAGGAAGAGAAACTCTACCTGAGGCCAGAGAAGCTGATCACGCTCCACCAGTGCAAAAGTCTGTGGAATGGCTCCTGTGCCCTTCAGCTTCCATTCAAACTCCTGTGTCCGGCCTCCAGAGCCCTCACAGCCTTAACTCTGCCTGATTCTCCAGTCTGTTGCTCCCTGCAGCACCACCACCAACCTTGAACTTTGGTTTATTTATTTATTTTGTGAGGAAGATCAGCCCTGAGCTAACATCCATGCTAATCCTCCTCTTTTTGCTGAGGAAGACCGGCTCTGAGTTAACATCTATTGCCAATCCTCCTCCTTTTTTTCCCCCCAAAGCCCCAGTAGATAGTTGTATGTCATAGCTGCACATCCTTCTAGTTGCTGTATGTGGGACGCGGCCTCAGCATGGCCAGAGAAGCTGTGCGTCGGTGCACGTGCGGAGCATGTGCACTTAACCGCTAAGCCATGGGGCCGGCCCTTGAACTTTGGTTTAAATTGCCTGCATTCTCTAATGCCCCATATGCTGTTTCATATCTCCATGCTTATGTGCTCACTGCTCCTTCTATCTCCTGTGTTCCTCCACCCCTTGCCCAAATACCTTATCTGGCACAAACCATCCTGTCCAATGGCACTCCAATTCTGCAGAGCATACTATCTTAAGGTCTCTGGCACACATTGCCTCTTTGTTCATCATCTACTCCCACCTAGATGATGCACTCCTCAAGGTGCCCTATTCATCCCTGTGTCCTCATGGTCTTCCACAGTGTTTAATAGGTCCTGGCCACTCAGTCCATTCATTCATTAACAGATATTTTTGTTCATTCAAGAACTATCTGTTTAACAAAAGATAGGGTGAGTAGGTAGAGAGTTAAGGAATGAATTTCTTTCATTAACAAGAAGATAAATGACTGCATGGATGAGGAAATAAATGAAAAGTGAGTAAATGAAGAAATGAGGGAATCAGGGAATAAATGAATGACGGCGTGCGTGAGGAAATGAGTAAACTCTTTGAAAGGGCTAATGCAGGCTGAAGGTCTCCCGTCTGAGAAAACAGCTGCAAGAAGACAGGATTCGGAAGAGAAAGGGAGCCCCTCTCTGGGCCTCTCGTGGGCCAGCACGAGGAGGGTCCAATTGCAGTGGAAACCTCTGTGGCCATGAGAGAAGGGTGGCCCATCCCGAGCACGCAGCTGTAGGATGACTTGCAGAGTCCACCCCTAGAGGTTCTGCGTGAGCTCAGGGAAAGTTTAGGCAGTTTCATGTGGCTTCAGAGAGCCCCGACTCTCCCTCCAGGAGCCCCAGACCCCAGGCCTCATGATTCTGCAGGGCCCTCGGGGGAGTAGGAAATTGACCCCAATTTCCTGGAGCCTTGGCCTGGGCCTGTGATGCATTTGGCCTCCAGCCCCTGAAGGGCTGCAGACCTCAGCACTACGTGGGCCAGAGCTGGCTGGAGAGCTCGGTTTGCAGCAGAGAATGTATTAGAACTAGCTAGAATCTGCTCAGGGAATTTCAGACTGGGGAGGCTCCCCCATAGAAAGTGGGAGCAAAAAGGCCCTGGTCTTACTGCCTCCAGTCTCCCTCCCTCCTGTTCAGTTCATCTGGTACTTTCTGCTGCTGACTAAATCTGCTTTAAAAAAGACGGCACCCTTCTGCTAAGACATTTCAGCCTTCCAAACAAGTCATACTCGTGGGCTGGCACTCCGTGGCTTCCACAGCAGAACCCAGATGACATGTCTAGCCCCATCTCTCACTATGCACATGTCCTTCCTTCTAGTCTTGCGGTCACCTGGTCTCTCCTGCAAACATCTCTCACTTCTCACCTCCACACATTTGCTCTTGTTGTGTCCTCTGCGTAGCAGACTTTCCGGAGCATCCCTGGATTTTTAAATCCTCCTTTAGCACTAGATTTTAGTGCATTAGGGCTTGCCCACAAGCTGGTGCAGATCATCAGAGTAGATCCTTGATGTTAAGTCTAGTTTGACCATAGAAGACCTGACGCTGGGGGTCCCATCTGGGAAGACCAAAGACCACTGGCAAGAAACCCACTGGGTGTATTTGGCTCTGAATGCACAATCCTGCATGCTAAGGTGAAATCTCTCACAAGAAGGCTGAGCATTCTTCAGCAAAACATTTTGCCTCTCTGCGCCTGTGCATCTGTCTGTAAAACAGCATGTTGTGCTCTCTCAAACTCTCTTTAGCTACACAGGTCCACAAAGAGCTGAAGGTATATAATAATTATACTATCAAATACCTATTATGTGTGAAGCGTTTTACAGGTATTTAAAAATCCTTTTAGGGCTGGCCTGGTGGTATAGTGGTTAAGTTCACACGCTCCACTTTGGCGGCCCGGGGTTTGCAAGTTTGGATCCTGGGTGTGGACCTATGCACCACTTATCAAGCCATGCTGTGGCAGGCGTCCCACATATAAAGTAGAGGAAGCTGGGCACAGATGTTAGCCCAGGGCCAATCTTCCTCAGCAAAAAGAGGAGGATTCGCAACAGATGTTAGCTCAGGGCTAATGTTCCTCACCAAAAAAAAAAAAAAAAATCCTTTTAACAACATAATAGAGTAGAAATTATATCCCTTTTACAGATTTAAAAACTGAGGCTCAGCTAGGAAGTAAAAAAGTGAGTTTTTAAATGATGCTCCTGTAATGGTTAAGAGCATGGACTAAGGCCAAACTATCTAGGTTCAAATTCTAGCTCTGCAACTTCCTAGCTGTGTGGACTTGGGGAAGTTCCTTAACTTCTTTACGCCTCAATTTCCTCAACTGTTAAATGGGCATAGAGTCCACCCCCTGAGAAAGTCATCACGAAGATCGAATGACTTAGTTTATGTGAAGCATTTAGAGCTTCACACACACACCAGGCTCTCTAAGTATTGGCTAAGGCTCTTAACTGCTCTGCTGTACTGTCTCTAGAGGGAACTTCAGAATCAACCCAACCATCACCCTCATTTTAGAAATGGAAGCCGCCAAAATGGGGCAGCAATGTGCCCAAGTCATGGAGGCTGCCAATGCCGGAGCCTTACAGGTCTTGACTGTAAGTCTCTGTGCCTTTCCTCCAATGGGGGGGAGCAGAGGGAGAAGGAGAGGCAGGGAGGGGAGGCGAGATGAGAGGAGAGGGAGAATTAGACTTCTTCTCCATAGTAGAAATGAAAATAAGCAAAATAATGGCAGAGAGGAATGTGGCAGCATCAGAGCAAGACAGAACCAGGCAGTGCAGGGCAGGATATAAATCGTTAAGCTTTGCAGGCAGCTTGACCTAATAGCAAGAATCTCTGTTCCTCCACTCCTGTGTTGTGTGATATGGGCAAAGCACACTTCCTCACTGAACCTCAGCTTTCCATCTACTAAATGGGACAGTAATGCCAGATACTGTGGGGCTTAAATGAAGTAGTCTGTGTTAAGCACTTAGCCGAGTGACCGGCATGAAATAAATGCTCAATAATTTGCAGCTGCTGTTAATTACGTGCCTCTGTTCCCAGTCAATGCCCTTACATGCATTTTGCTCCTCCAAGTAAGGTACAAAAGTGACATGTAGCCCCAGGAGTAAGGATGGGCAGAAAATATGGCTTGTGCAATGACTTGGTAAGGAGATCTGAGACTTTGTTTAAGATCTGACTCTGTTGGTGACTTGCTGTGTGACTTGGGGTAAGTCCCTTCCCCTCTCTGGGCTCCAGTGGTCCTATCTATAAAATAAGTGGGTTGCAGTGGGGGATCTCTGCCCACCTCTAACATCACATGGGTCTGTGATGTTTCTGTCTTCCTCGAGGAAGCCCTGGGTGCTTGGGTAAGCATTTGACAACGCTGAAAATAGAGGCTGTCCCTGCTTGCAGAGGCATTGTCCATGCGAGAGCTCTGCTGTGTCCACAGCAGAGCCTCTAAAGGCAGGGGCCAGCTGCACACCACTAGTGGAAGAAAGGCTTTTCCAGCCACCGGCTGTGATCTGTGCAATGAACGGGGTGCGTTATTGATCCCACTCCCACCCTTCTTTTCTTGTTCCTGCTGAGCTGCTGAAACCCACCATTAAGTGCATTACTGGGCCGGCCCCGTGGCTTAGCGGTTAAGTGCGCGCGCTCTGCTACTGGCGGTCCGCGTTCGGATCCTGGGCGCGCACCGACGCACCACTTCTCCGGCCATGCTGAGGCCGCGTCCCACATACAGCAACTGGAAGGATGTGCAATTATGACAGACAACTATCTACTGGGGCTTTGGGGGAAAATGAAAGAAAGGAGGAGGATTGGCAATAGATGTTAGCTCAGAGCCGGTCTTCCTCAGCAAAAAGAGGAGGATTAGCATGGATGTTAGCTCAGGGCTGATCTTCCTCACACACACACACAAAAAAAGTGCATTACTTCATCCACAGGGTAACTTTAGCCTTTCCTCTCCAGCTGCAGCCCCTGTGCGTGAATCTCCCGCAAACCCTGTCCCCATCCCAAGATGGCCCATCTCCTAATCACCTGCAAAGCCCCCATTGCGCTTCTCATGCAGAATGGGGCCTGAGTTATCACCTTGGATAGCTCAAGAGCGCCTGAGCAGGATTAAATGCTGACACAATTAGCACCTGTCCCCAGTCACCTGGGACAAAGGAATTCCTGCCTTTGCCACTAGCCTGCCCTGGAACTTTCTGGAGGCAGCGGGAAGAGCAGGGCTTGGAGTCAGTCAACACCACCGACTGACTTCTCACCGTGGGCAAGAACTCAGCCTCCTGAGCCTTCTGTCCTCATCTGTAAAATAGGGATATCGTTTCTTTTCCAAATCTTTGTTGTGAGTTGTCAAAATGAGAGAAAGTCTGTGGCACCAGTGTGGCATCCAGGGAACACTTAAAAATACAAAGCGGTGATTATGAAGGCTCTCTGTCTTGGTTTACAGGGATATTAACACTATATATTCTAGAGTGGAACTGTGCAATATGATAGCCACTAAACAAGCCTGGCTGTTTACATTTAAATTTGAACTATTTAAAAAGAAATAATATGTAATACTTAGTTGCTCAATCACTGTAGCCATGTTTTGAGGGCTCCATAGCCACTGTGGCTAGTGGCCACCATATTGCACAGCACAGACATGGAGAATTTTCATCATAGCAGAAAGTTCTACTGGGAAATGCTAGTCTAGAGTCTATATATCCTACAGGTTTATTTAAGTAAGAAATCAAGTGTCTCTATGGTTCATACTGGTCTCCCTACCCCACATCCTGGCCTCATGCATGATGGGTGTCCCCTTTTCTGATTTTCTGGGGCTAGCTGCCAACAGAGGGTTAACTTTCAAACTGTTGCCTACAAACAGGTGCTGTAGGGGTCCACATGGAGCTTCAGGGATTCTCTCCTCTAGAAGTGACCTTAAAGGCAGGCTAGTTCATTTGTGCCTTCCCCAGGGCTGCCATGTATGGCAGCACCGGTTGCGCACTGCACAATTCCAGGAGGAACTCATAGACATACCCTATTTTCATTACCTCATTTAATCCTGACAAATAAAATGTGAAGTAGGTAGTATTGTTTCCCTCCATTTTATGCACAAGGAAACTGAAGCTTAAAGAGTTAAATAATTTGCCTCAGTCCTTCCACTGGTAAGTGGTGGAGCCAGGATTCGAACTCAGAGTCCAGATCCAGCGTCATCCTGACTGCCAAGGAATGAACGAAGTGGAGGTTTCATTTGTCAATTTGCTTTTAGTGGCAGCGAGAAGGGAGTATGCAAATTTCCCCTACAATGGCCCCTATCCTTTCCTGCCGGGATCTGGAACTTGTTTGGAAAGCAAAGAATTCCTGCTCCATCTTTGCTGCTGTGTTTACAGGCAGCAAGAGGGGATCTGAGGTGAATACTAGATTTGGCTCTCGGGCCCCTGCTCTGAGGGTAGAGGAAATTCATTTGCAGTACAAACTAGAAACGTCAATTGTATGAGGAGCCCATTTGGCACGCGCTCCCTCATTCTTTGAGCCGACAAGCAATACCCTGCTCCTTTCCGTCTAGCCCTCTCTGCCAGTTGCCAAACAGAACGGCTTGACTCGTCTGATAAATTTACATTTTCCTCTCCTTTAAATACTAACTGGCCATGAAAGGTACTTGGCAGGCCCTAGGCAGACTGGGTTTCAGTTTGATAACATGACCACGGCCAGAATATTATTTGGCTCAGCAGTTTGGGTAACTGTTAGCAACAGTTTTATGTAAGGGAGTGAGAGGGAAGTTGATCAGCCTGCGTGAGGCCGTGGTAATCTCTGGCCTTTGCTTCTTCCGGCCCTGGCTTCTGCTTCCCTGGCAGTCGAGGATGGAAGGAGCCGGGGACACAGACGTTCGTGAGTATACGCTATCAAGGATTTTCAGGTAGTGCCTATTGGATTCAGTCTGTCCACAGTAGGGAGGACCTGGATTCTGATTCCGACTCAACCAACACCAGCTGTGCTGCCTTGAGTGGTTCAATGACTTCTCTGAGTCTTAGTTTTCTCATTTGGAAAATTGGCCTGTATGCTCATCGTGGCTCTTTCTCATACCCTGTCATTTCCTGAGCACCTACTAAGTGTCTGGCACTGTCCCAAGTGCTGAAAACTCAAGGAAGATTAAAGATGTGATCAAAGATTTCACAGCCTAGGAGGGGGAATGTGAAATGAATTATGACACAGTGTGGCCAATGCTGTGAAGGGGGAACCCAAAGGAGGGGCACTGAGCCCAACAGTAGAAGGGACATCGAGAAAGGGGTCCTGGAGGAGGGATTCCTGGACTGAACTGTGAAGGATGACTAGGAGTGAGGGAGCTGGAAAAGGTGAGAGGAGCTCTTTAAGGTACAGAAGGCAGATGTGAGAGGGAGATCATCTCACTGGTGATGGAGGAGAGGTCTTGAACGCCACCCTGAGGAGTTGGGATTTTATCCTAAGGGAGATGGGAGTCCTGGTTCACCAAGGGCTTTAAGCAAGGGAACTGTCATGATAAGATTTATGTTCTAAACAAATCACTCTGGCTGAAATGTGGAGAATATACTAGAGAGAGGCAGGGGCATAAATGCAGGGAAATGGTCAGAAAACTGCATGGCGGCCCAGGAGAGAGAAGATGATGGCCTGAGTTAGGGTGGTGGCATTGGGGACAGAAGAGAACAGCTTCAGGAGATGTCTTGGAGAGAGAATGGGTAGGACTTGGTAATTGCATGGATGCGCGGAGTGAGAGTGAGAGGAGGTGGGGATGGGGGTTTGGCAGTACCTGGCATTTGGGGGGCACTAATAAAGACCAAGAAGGGATGACTGCAGGTGAAACCTGCATGGGGTCCAGTTGGCTGAACTCTGGCCTCAACTGGCCGAAGATCCTTATACACCTGTGAAATAAGGGGTTTGGGGTATCAACCCTAAATGGTTGGTTCTATCAAGGTGGAACTCCTTATGGATTTAAGGCTCCTTTGGAGGCAGCTAGCCTCTATGTCCCTTTTTCATTCTTGATTCCTTACCCATCTTATTGGGTGTGGGGGGATGTGTGTCAGGATTAAGAAAAATTCATTCACACAACTCCGTCAGCAGGGCAGGCAGGAGTGCTGGACTTTCTCTCAGTTACACGTGAATTCAGATAAAATTCAACCCTTGCCATCTCCTTCTGGTCTCCCTTTCTTCCAGAGTGTTCTCAAAACTGTTCTTCTAGTCTAAATGTGGTTCCCCTTCGCTTTATTGAGGGAGCCAACTGATTTCTCAAGATTGCGGCAGTCTTGTGATTTTAAACACTCCAGGGACCAACATAGGTGTTGATGGTTGTAGAAAGTTGGCAAAACAGCCCTGGCCACTCCTGTCTCAGCTTGATCAGTTTCATACCTTGGGATTCCACATATGCTTTCCTTCATAAGGATTCCAATACGAAAAATTTTTCAAAGCTAAGAATCTCTTAACAAATAAAATATGGTGTTATAGGGAGGAAAACGAGGCTGAGAGAGATTACAAAGGAAAAGAATTAACACCCAGTTTCTTAACTTCTGCATGGGTGATATTGCTATTATACAAGTCTGCCATCTGTAGAGAGTCTCCTGGAGGAAGTGGTGTAAAACATAAGCTTTGGTAAGCAGATAGGAGAGGGACCAAAGTACTGATGTCAAGTTCAAGGAGTCTTACCTGGGCGGCATCGCTGTCTTCACACTTGATCCTACACTCGCTGTTGAACTGGAAGCCATTAGTGCACTGGTAGAGCCCATGGAATTTCGGTGGAGGTGGGTCACAAGTCACAGGAACACAAGCTCCATCCTGCCAGCTGCCATCTTGGGTACACTGAGTCTTGAAGGCCCGTCTTCAAGGAAGAGATAAAAGAAGAGACATCTCAAGGACCAGATGGCTGGACCCATGCCCTACCAAAGCAGCCAAGTTTCTCTGGAGCCTTCTGGCCTCTCATTTCACTTTCCCATTCCCGACCTACCTATCCTATTGGGTGGGTGGGGGGCATGTATGGGGACTAAGGAAAATTCATTGACAGAACTTCTTCCACAGGGGCAAGCAAGAGTTTCAGACATTATCTCAGTTACATGTGGCTTGAAATTAAATTCAAGCCCTGTGAGCCCTTGTCCTTTCTCTTCCTTCCAGAGTGTTCTGATGGGTGCTGGCATCCATAATGATATGATGATATGAATACCCATCATTTATTGAACAATTACTATGTGCCAGGCACTTTGCAAGCATGTTACATACACATCCTCATTTATTCTTCACAAAAATCCTGTATGGTAACTGTCACTATCATCCCCATCTTGTTGTTGAAAAACAGAAGCCCAGAGGAGTAACGTTGCTTGCCTGAGGTCACACAGCCAGTAGGCAATTATTAACATTATCCTTCTAGATTCCTGCAGGACAGAATGTGATGAATGGTGGGTGTTGCCTCCAGCAAAGACATGAGTGCTTCCTTCTAATAAGACATCCAGACCCGACTCTCCTCCTCCCCAGAACCTGTGAGTTGGTGTTTCCGGCCCCACTTACTTCTTTGACTTCCGAGAGGAGCCGGGCACGTGGTAGCCAGGTTTGCACTTGTACTTGCAGAAAGAGCCCACCTTGTGCTTGTTCTCTCGGCACCGGGCCGTCTGGAGGTCTGCGTTGGGCACCGGGGGTGGAGCTAGGCACATGAGCTCGCACAGGGCCTCTGGGAAGGACCACAGCCCGTCCTCCATACAGGTCAGAAGGCTGTTGTTGCCTGGAGGACACAGACAGCACGGTTAGGAGAGAGGGGACCTCTGACAGCGAAGCTAATTCATGGGCTGCCTGAACTTAAGCCAACTTGAAGAACCAGAGGATGTTCCTCTTGGAATTCCAGATCCTTCCACTTACAACTGAGGAGCCTAGGGAGATCAAGAGAGCTTCCAGGAAAAAGAGGAGATCAACATAGGGAGTGACTTACCCCAGTCTACAGTGAATTAAAAGTCCTGACTCTGAACCTCTTATACTGCATAGAAAGACACCTTCATGCTCTGTCCATCCATCCTCCTTGCTTTGCTAGGTGGGCATCCGAGCCCAGAGCAGAAAGGACTTTCCTTCTAACAATGGACAGTGTAAGCTCCTGACAGAATCTACTCTGGGCTCTGATTTCAGTGCTCTGTGTGACCTCCCCTCTCTGGGCTGCTGCTCCTCTCTGGGCCCTGTGCCCCATCTTCATCCTAGCCCCCCCTTGTGCCTGGAAGTGACAGCGTTGTGGTATCCGGAGGTGTGACTTTCTTTTCAGGCCCCAGTGCTCAGTGAGGCTTTGCCAAAGCAGCTGAGAGAACAGCACTTCCCAGCAGCCCATGCCAGCTCCTGCAGACGTGCTGATGGCCACCGGGAAGCTGGCCTGATGGGGAACGTCGCAAATAAAAGTAAAACATGGGAGTTAGGCTCTTCACTGCCAGGTCATATATTTTCTACACAGAGCCTGCCCCAAACCTCCCCAAGACAATTAGAGATGAGCCTGGAACTTGGGTTTCTCAACCAGACTCTCCTCTTCCCAGTTATTACTGAGTGGCATTGACAACTGGGGCAGGAAGCACGTGGGAGGCTTTGGATTTGGAGGTCGGAAGGTCTGATTTGAAGGTTGGAGGGGTGGGGTGACAAGGACAAGACTGAGATTTACTACCTACTGAGTGCTTTATGACATGTGATCTCATTCTTTCTCGCAACAGTGCTCTGAGTGTGACAATTCACACTTGGAAATAGAGACTGAGAGAGGGAAGTGACTTGACCAAGTGCTCATAGTTAATGAGAGACAGAACAGAAGTTTGAAACCAATTTTGTCTAACTGCAAAGATGGCTGTTGTTTTTAATGGGAAGTTGGCTACATATGCTCAGCAGAGTCCTTATCATCTCTTCTGAAAGAGTCAGAGCCCAATACTCCAATCTATAGAAAGAACTGAATTGCTTCTGCCTTTCATGGGGATGAGAAGACAAAATGAAACTTTTATGAGATGTGTCCAGAAGAGTGCTGTCAAATTCCTTATTTGCTTCTTCCCTCCCTCTCTTCTTTCCTTCCTTCCTCTCGCTCTCCCTTCCGCCTAACCTTGTGCCTTTATTAGCAGATCTGAAAGGAGCGTATGAGTTGCACAGAAGCCTTCATTCATTCAACAAGCATCTAGTTAGTGCTTACTATGTGCAGCTACTCTTTTATATGTTGGGACAAAGCACTGTACAACAACAAAAACACAACACACAAAACAAAAACCTCACATCCTGCCCTCTTGGAGTTTATATTCTAGCGGGATAGAGAGGAACACAATAAATTATAAATTTAAATAAATACACTATTTAGTGTGCTAGAAGACAGTGAGTCCTATGGAGAGAAATAAAGCAGGAGAAGGAAGGAAGAGAGAGTACTATGCTCCTCTCTGGGCCCTGTGCCCCATCTTCATCCTAGCCCCCCCTTGTGCCTGGAAGTGACAGCGTTGTGGTATCCGGAGGTGTGACTTTCTTTTCAGGCCCCAGTGCTCAGTGAGGCTTTGCCAAAGCAGTTGAGAGAACAGCACTTCCCAGCAGCCCATGCCAGCTCCTGCAGACGTGCTGATGGCCACCGGGAAGCTGGCCTGATGGGGAACGTCGCAAATAAAAGTAAAACATGGGAGTTAGGCTCTTCACTGCCAGGGCTCCTCTCCTTCTCCTCCCCATTCATTGTCTTCCTTCTCCTCCAGTGTCAGTGCAATTCATCTGGTGAGCACAAGAAAATTTAATGTCTGTAAACCCCGCAGAGGATTCTACGTTGATAAACTGATATTGCAAACTACAGATATTTCTCCATCAAGCAGAAGGAGCTGAGGGTGCAGAAGGATGACTCATTTGGCCTCCATAGAAGCAGAGAGGCTTCCAGAACACCAGAGACTGAAAAGTGCTTTCGCACTGCCTTTGTGATTGGGGCAGTGTTTTGGGATCCCCAGGCTTGGCGAAAGCTTAGGAGGAAGGAGCGTTATAAAGGATATGGGGAGCACATCCTCTCTAAACTCCCTAAGAAGGATAAAATGTCTGTGGGAAAAAGGTTGGGACTGAAAAGTACATCATATCAGCTATGCAATTCGTAAACTGTGAAGTGAAATTCATGGTTCTTTTGCGGCAAGATAACATAAAAATTGCAAAATGTTAATGAAGAGAGACATGCAAACCAGAAATGTAAATTCTGGCGAAGGGTAAATAGGAGTTAAGCTGTGTACCACAGTCAAGAGAAGAACCACGCTAAAGCAGGAACTGGTGATTCAGGACCATGGACATGCCCTCACCCCACAACAGACAAAATCCAGGAGACGCAGGCTCTGAACTGTGCAGAATCAGTGTTTTCATGCCCCGGCTGTAGTCACTACCCAGCATCCACATGCGGCTTTGAAGAAAGTAGGGTATGGCATACTCTGTCCGTGCCCTGCCCTCATCCTCTGGGCACTGACCTCTATACTCTGAAAGATGCTTACTGCACCTGCAACCCTATGCAGCAGACCTTTTGTTCTGGTCATGGATGCATGCTCTGCCTGCATGCAGGACAGGCTCACGACCTGAGGAGTCAATGCCCCTGGAAGTAGCACTCAACCAGTGATGGAGTTGGTGAATTAACATGTCAGTTTCCAGAGTTGCAATAACTCTGAGGAATATTCTACCCTGTCTCCCATAGTGCCCCAGAAGGACTGAGCTCTGGATGCCCACAGCAATAAATGGCTTTAGAACGGACCCTTGGTGCTTCTGTCACTTCCACGCCTCCCTTTCTCATTCCACTACCTATGTTTCTTGAGGGAACATGACTCAGGACAAGAAGTGAAGGCATTTCTGAGCCTGGAGTTCCTGGCTGAGGGTAAGAGTGCTGAAGTCAGAGATTGGGTTCCAAAAAGTAATGTGACTCTGTGCCTTCATTTGTTCCTTTTGTTTTGGTGAGGAAGATCAGCCCTGAGCTAACACCTGATGCCAATCCTCCTCTTTTTTTACTGAGGGAGATTGGCCCTGAGCTAACATCTGTGCCAATCTTCCTCTATTTTGTATATAGGACACCCCCACAGCACGGCCTGACAAGCGGTGTGTCTGTGCACACCCGGTCTCCGAACCTGCGAACCCCGGGCTACCGAAGCGGAGTGCACGCACTTAACTGCTGCGCCAGCGGGCTGGCCCTCCCCCATTTGTTCATCTTTTAAAGTCTGGAAAATAAATCTGCTCAGCCTCTCTACACATGTGGTAAAGGAAATTTCAATCTCGAATGAGTATTAAAATAACTGTAAACGCACTGTCAAAAGACATGTGCCTATTTTTATTATTGTATTTAAAAGATTACCTGGAAGACGAAATCTCTTTGGGAGTGCCTTTAAGACTGAAATTCATTCATTCATTCATTCAAGCAGAGAACAAGGAGGGAAATGCCAGGAGACCTGAGATCTGGTTTTCTTAGTACCTCGTAAGTGGTATTGATATCACCCGCATCCTAAGGCCAGAAACTCCATCTTGTTCATTCTTTTATTCTCAGAACCCAGTCAAGCACATAGTAGGCCCTCAATATCCAATTGGTAAATACACGAAGGATTATGAATCCACATGCAACCTTGAACAGGTCACCTAACCTCTCTGGCCCTAAACCAAAGCCGTCTTTGAATGCCTGTCCAGCTCTGACATTTTAGGATGTGAAACGATATTGGCCACCACATTGTTTTGAGAAAAAGGAAATGCAGCTAGCTGGACTGGACCGAGACAAGCAAGCACTCATGAGGCTGCGTGAGCCACAGGCTGGTCCTGGTGGAACTGGGAAGAGATTCAGTTTCATTGCTCTTGGTAAGAAAGAGACCTTAACAGAAGTTACAGAGGAAGAAGAGGAAGAAAGATAAGGAGCACAAATAGAGAAGAGGCCTCTGTATAAGACCCTGGGCCAGGTGGGGTAGGAAACGGGGTCAGAAAGGATTTCAGGATGGTTGTTTTCCCAAAAATAGCCAACTGGAACTTCACCAGTGCTGAGGCTGGAGAAAGTCAGAGGGAGAAACTGAGGCAGAAGAAATGGAGGCATCAAAAAAACGCATGCAATCCTCTGCCAATTTTAGTCCTGAAAGCACATTTCTAGGCTCCTGGGATCCCGAGGAGTTAAAGAGAAAATCTGAGCTGCGCTTGGCAGTCCCAGAAAGCATGTCATTTGCTCAGTAAAATTGGGCTCTCACAGCTCCAGCCTGGGTGAATCAGAGTACACTTTGATTGTTTAATTGTCCAATTTTTTCCCTAAATGTCTGATAGGAATTCTACCAACAGCTGTCTATAATTGAACCCATGAGGTAGGCCTAGGAAAAATTATTGGAGCCATCTCCTTGATCTCTCTCGTAACCAATTTGTCATTGACCCCATTTTGTACATGAGAAAAGAAAGTCCCAGAGGGGAAAGCAAGTTGTTTAAACTAGAGTTGGGGCTGACTCTAGGTCTGTCTGACTCCTAAGTGCTCTCTTGACTTCATGACAGAGCTTTTACTCACGAGTATGGCCAAAGAGGAATTGCTGTCTAGAGAAAATCTCACGGAATCAGGAATTTGGATGAGCGGAGTGTCCTGAAATCAAGAACTGGTCATACAATAACATTTCACCATCTCCATCCCCTCCCCACTGTCCAGAATGGACACCTCACTTCCAAATTTCTTTACCAACGGGCCCCATTTGTCATTCTGAATTTTAGACCACAAGGAAGAGAATGTCCTAAGATGCAGTCACACCAGGGATAATTGATAGAGAAGAGGGAGAAAGGAGCCTGGAATGTTGGACACCTGCCATGCAGGAGGGGTCGGGGAATGCACGTGGCAGACGCAAGTTAGATTATTTCCTCAGATTGGTGGGAATGGCACGCCTAGCAAGGGGGCACCATTTCCAGGGTCAGGACCCCTGCCTTCTAGCTCCAGTGTTAATGGTAACTCATATATGTCCTTGTGTAAATGTCGTCCTCTCTTGGACCTCCGTTTCCCTATTGCAAAATGAAATGATGAGCCTTGATGACCTGTAGCCTTCTCCAAGCTCTGACATTCCAAGGTTCGATGGGAGTTTTGGGTTGAGGGACAGGCTTTAGAAAAGGCCAGAGGGCTTCTGAGGCAGCAGGTAAGAACCCTGAACTAAGAATAGGCTTGACTCTTGAAGCTTGAGCAACCATTCAGAGTGGAGAGCGGGCTGAGGAACACTGGAAGAATTATTTAAAAGATAAAACTGGAGCTTACTTTATGCTCTTAGCATTGCTCACATCACAAGTGGCCGCATAAGCAGCTATGTGATCTTGGACAAATCCCTCCTTCACTGTGACTCTCGAGCCCCAGGGCATAATTTGAGTAGTGGTTTACCATCAGCACCCAGTAGTGGTTTGGACCCAATGACATCCTAGACCCTGGTATCTCCAAAACACTAAGGTGAAAAGATGAAGAAAGCAGCGTTTTCTTAGGAGTTGTATGAGAATTCCTTTTAGGGGACTGATTCTGCTTTTGTGGGGAAGATACCTTGATGAGACCCTTGGGATAAAGCTGAACCTTCCAGAGCCTGGCTGTCTGCTTCTGAGAAAGATGGAAGGGTCTCTTCCTGAGAAAGGAGAAAGAATGTGGAACCCCTAAAGGGAGGGAGGTCATTACAGGATCTGCAGAGAGAGGGTAAGGGGTGAGGCAAAGAGCTGAGGGCAGGTAAGAAGGTTAATTGCTGGGCACTGTAGGGTGGGGCCACTCTCCGTGTCCACCCATCTCATGTCTCTGTCTTCAGTAAAGTCCGAGAAATCAGAAAGTATGCAATGGTATTGGGTATCTTCTGGAAACTAGTGAATAGACTGAGTTTTAAATCTGTGGATAGACAGGAAAAACTGAGATAGAACAGGCCACAAGAGCCATAAGTAGAAAGTGGGCCTTTTAAAAAGATCTTTGTACGATGAGGGCACACTTACTTTAGAAGCCCCACTCCATAGTCAATATCAAGGGCACCCAACACGGTTGACTTGAGGTTGACTAGGTGATGTAAGTAAGGTTGCATTTTTAGCCATTTAATTAAACATTTACGATTTTGAACCTGAAGTTGTTCTTTTCTGAACTTGTAAGTATTTTTTTCCTTGTGCATTTTTGTAGGTTCTGTCTGTGCTTATAGCGCTGATTTCATAAAGGACCTAGGAGGAAGTGATTCTAAGCTTGTGAGTTTGCAGGATATTTTGCACACATCTTGAAGAGGGCTCAAAATTTAAGTGAAAGTCAGGATATTCAAGAAAAATTCACCTGGAATATAAGAGGCAAGTGGGCTTGTGGTGCTACCTGCGTTACCCCAGGTTTCCAGGGGCTACACTTGACTGTTTGTCCTGGGTGGTGGTTGCTCATCCGAGGACACTAATTTCCGGGTCCTGGGAGGAGCATGGAGGATGGAGCATGTCTCCACAGAACTAAGGCCTCCATGGGACAAAGAGGTCAGGGGCTAGGAGATCAGCCACTGCACAGGTCCTCACAAGGGTGACCCTTGGAGAAGATGAGTATTTACTAAGCATTTTCTCTGGCTCTGGCATTTTATACATGCCCTCTCTTTTAATCCTCAACCTGACCCTTCAACGTAGGCACTCTTGCACCCATGTTACAAATGAGGGTATTGAGGCTCAGAGATGTGAAATTGCTCTCCTAAGATCAAACAGTTGAGGTAGAGACAGAAGTGGAACGCCAGTTTGTCTGATTCTAAAGCTAGTGCTCTTCTTGCTTAAATTGTGCTGCAGGGAAAGGAAAATGAAGGGAAAAAGGGAGGAAAGGGAATCAAACAAGAAATGGGGGGGAAAATTGTTTTGATCATCTCTTTACCCCCTGACTTGAGAAGGGAGGCATTAACAAGCTCATGAGAGGGGTAGCAGGACCTTCACCCAGTCCTTGCTTCCAGCAGATCCAAGCAGAAGCATCAGACCTGGAAACTGAGTACCAGATGATGCTGAGAACCAAGGTCCAGGAAATGCCAATGGGTCCTAGTGGGTCAGTGTGGCCACCAGAAAGATACTTCTCTATATTCTCAAGGGAAGAGCAAAGTTGGGATCAACAACTGTCAACATAGTGGTCCTCTTGGGGCCTCATCTCCACAGAGGGGTCACCCACTTCCCTCACAGTCAGCAGAGAAGCAATAGCAGAAGGGTCTGAATCAATTTGATTAAGAATTATTATTAGCCATAATGAGGGCTGTAATAATCAATGCTAATTTATACACCTCCCTTTCCCAAGGGCCTCTGATTGAGAGCAGAAGTGTGATTTCCTAGGCTGGGGTTATTAATACACCCCACATTTGGGCAAATGGGGCCAAGAGAAGGACCCAGACAGCGTGAAAGATGGGGGTGGTTACAATTTCCACTGGTCTCTTCATGTCTCTTCAACCTAAATCTTTATAGTAGCTCAGATGAAATGTCTATAGCTTTTTAATTAAAATCTTCCTGGGTTAAAAATGAGGATAGCTAAGGGATACATCCCAGAAGTGCTTCCTGCTTTTATTTTGGGGCAGTTGAGTGAGATTTCTGGGTCTTCCATTCATTTCTTAAAAGAAACTTTTCCTGTGGTGTTACTTTCATCAATGTATCCAGCCAGCCAGTCAATACACTTTATTGAGTCTTACTATGTGCAGGTCCTGGGCTTGCTGACAGCAATGTGAGAAGGGCTTAGACACAGTCACTGCCCTCTAGGGACTCAAGTTCAGTAATCTTTTGAAGTTTTGTATCCCCTTGAAAATTTGGGGAAACTATTGACTCTCTCCAATCATCAAAATGCCTGAAACTGATGAATATATAATATTACTTCTAAGTTTCAGGGAATGTACAGACCTCCCTCCAAACCCCCCACACCCCACCGAAGTCCACTCATTCCCATGCTATGGCATGATGCACCCCAAGGTAGGACCCTTGAGTGAGATATAATTCTGGGTATCTGATAAGGGGGGCAATGTTTCCTCTGATAAAGCAAGCCAAGGAGAGGGTCCTGGCACCTCGGGAATTGGGTATAATGTCAAAATCCAATACTCGACTGGAAGCCAAGAGCATTCATTCTGATAATGGTGCTAACTTGCTCGGTTGTTTTGTACAAAGTCCTTCCTTCCTTCCTCTCACTGGACCTCAGTTTCACCATCTTTCCAATAATCAGTTATTCCTGATAAATTCTAAGAGCCATTCTAGTCCTGACATTCTAGGAAGGACACCCAAGCCAGCCTCTCACTCATTTCCAAAATTTGCCCTCCTCTCCAGTTTGCCAGACTATGTCTTTCTCACCTTAATACCCAGGAGATCCTAGTAAATGCTTCCTGTCCACATCTTCTCCTCTCTCGGCTAGCCCTTCCTAAAGAGTAGCAGTTGGCTTTGGAGAAAGACAGACCTGGGCCCCGATGTACATCCCACCACTAATAGTGTGGCCTTGGACAAGTTCTTTAAACTCACTGAGGCTCAATTTCCTCCTCTGTGAAAATGGGAATAATAATATTACTCACCTCTTAGGCTTCCTGAGCCCTCATCCTATCCAGTGAACTAGTCACATCAGTTCCAAGCGTTACTTTCTTAGAATCTTCTTTTTCTTCCTCCCTCCCTCCCTTCCTTCCTGTTTCTTTTCTTTTCTTTTTTGGAAGATTTGCAAGATCTTGGAGGAGATTTCACTGTCATACTTATACACTCTCTACTTTCTCCTTAGCTGCACAGCAGGGCAGTTTACATAAATACAATCGGTGGAAAGAAATCAGGAGCACAGACAAAACCCCCACCCAACCCTTGGTGTTTGAGACCCAAAAGGAGAGCCTGAAAGCAGCCTCTGGGTTCCCATAGAAGAAGGGCGGGCCAAGCCAAAGGGCCCTCGATACCTTTCAACTGCGCTGGGTGACGGCACTGGAAGGAGCATTTGCTGCCAAAGGTGGTGCCCTCGAGGCAGGAGAAGGAGGCGGCATAGACGTGATGCTGGTCCGGGATGCCACAGTCCACCGGCTCACACACCACCTGCTTGTTCCATTTGCCCTCAGCACAGGTCACTGTGACGCTGGGTCCCGTCTGAAAGACAGAGGCAGGCACAGTAAGGAGGCAGACCTAATCCCAATGTGAGGAAACACCCATCTCCCCCAGGCTACAGCTCAGAGTCTTGTCCAGGCAGTGGGAGACCAATGCTTAGTGTTTACCTTTAGCTCACTTTTAATGATCCCAACAACTGTTTGAATTAGGTATTTCAATTCCCATAGTACAGACGCAGAAATTGAGGCTCAGAGACATTGTGTTTAGCTCCAAGTTACACAGCTGGAAAGAGGATAAGTGGGAATCGAACCCAAAGGCTCTTAACTACTATCTGTAGAAGTCTGCCAGATCATTTCCATTGTATTGATGAGAATATTGAGACTCAGACCTCTCAGGGCCTGATGACTTCTTTCATGAAATAGCTTCTGAAACACAGCACAACAGTGAGACCTTAGCTTTGTCTCTTTTCTTGGCTCTGGCAGAAGTTACAGGGAGCTTGTTGCAGTGTTTTGCACAGAGTGGGCATCGCCCGGAGATATCAGAGACCTGGATGTTAGTCCTCCGTGCTATGAGACCATGGGTAAGTCCCTTTCCTGATTTGAGTTCTCCCATTGGCATTGAACTAAGAGCCACTCTCTACTCTAAGATTTGATGGTTCAATAGTTGAGAAAGGTAGAGATGAAGAAGGAACAAGGCTGGGAAAAGTGAACGGGTGGACAGAGATTTGAACCAAACTAGAAGACAGCAGGGCTGTGCGGGTGGAAGGGCGAGGCCATGCTACGGAGCCAAGGGAGGGACAGTCATCTCATTGGCAGCCTGGAGGCTTCTATTCAAGGAGGAAGCCGCCAAATCCTAGGGGACTGGGGATGCCAAATGTTGATCGGGGACTTTAAAAGCAAAGGACATTTTTCCTCTCTTAAGCATACATCAAAGGGAGTAGAGGTCCTCACTGCCAAAACAGCCTAATTATTTCCACAGGAGTTCAGACCTGCCGTGTCTGACACATGGAAGTAGGTATCGAAGACAAGCAATCGAGGGCCCCAGAGCTCCGCAGTGGGACTCTATTCAAGCCCAGAAGCTCTGTACAAGTAGGTGTTCCCAGCAACAAGGAATGTGCCCTGTGTGCTTGCAACATACAGGTGAGGCCCGCCAGCAGGGCCCTGGAAAAAGCTGCATCTAGCGACAGAGCTCTGGAATCGTCAAATCTCAGGGCTTCACTGCCACTTTGCCCCCCTCCCTCATGCCCACCTGAGACCCCACAGCAACATCTGGCTGAAGCAACATTCTGCCACATCTCAAGTCCACTCACTGCCACTACCCTCATGCAGGACACACCCCTCTTCCCTGAGCTCTTCTGATGACTTTCTGAGGACTCTCCCTATGGCCAGTCTTACTGTCAGACTCCAAGCTACACCCAAATGGGCAGCCAGAAGCACCTTTATCAACCACGATCTGACCATGTCAGCCCCATGTTGCCCTAAAGAGAAACTTCACACTTCCTGACCAAGCTAACAGGGCCTTGCACCAGTGGACCTTGCTTGCCCCTCCAGCTGCACTGCTTGAGTGAGTTCAGAAGAGAAATCTCTGTCTGTAGCAAGCTCTTTCTCACCAATGGGCTTCGACTCCTGCCTGTGTCCAGAGCAGAAATTTCTTCCCTCTCCCCAACACACACTCCTTTGCCCATCTATCTACTTCCCGTTTTCACGTCATTTCCTCTAGTCCGCTCTCCTTGAATCCCCCCTGAATTCCACAACACCCTACCCTTCCCTTTATGGTGTTTATCACACTGTGAGGTCATTACTCATTCATTGTCTGCTCCACGTCACCAGTCACTAAGCTCCTTGAGAGGAGGAACTAGGTTTATCTTAGTGACGTTTTTCTCCATCACCTAGTACAGCATCTGGTTCCCAGTGAAGAGATGTTTTACAATGAACGAATGAATGAACACCTCATTGACAGAAGTCTTGCCTCTTCCTAAAGCAGCCCATTCAACTGTAGCAGAGTTCTGACTGTGAGGGTTTCATTCCAAAACGCTTAGCCCACAGTTTTTCAGATTTGCAACCTACCTGTTGTATGGAACACTACTCTGCCAGGGAACCATTGTCTTAGAAATTCCAGATTGATGGATTCCTTCATTCAATCAACACATATTTATTGAGCATCTATGATGTGGAAACACTATTTTAAGTGCTGCAGATTCAGCGGGGAACATGTTCAACACCCTATCAGCCTTTCCTGGGCTGGAGAGGGGCTCTGAGCCCAGCACCTGCGCACACCTGGCTCTTGATCAGCTCGTCATCCCGCTGTATCTGGAGCACGTAGCCTGTCCGGCAGCTCACAGTACACTGGGCACCGTGGTAGCGGTCACTGCTCGAGCAGTTGAGAGAGGCGTTCTCCACGGCCAGCTCCGGACAGTCAGTGGCCTCACATGCAAAGTGCACACAGCTGGAAAGGAAAGGAATGGAGGGTAAGAGGGAGTTTTCTTGTAGGACCACTGCACTCCAGCTGCAAGACAAAGGCTAATGGCTTCCCTCTCCAAAATTTCAGGAGTCCAAGACTGAGGAGAGGAAGAGGTGCTAGCTTTGGTGAAGAAGACTCTGGAGGCAGTGGTCAAAGTTTATCATTAAGAGCACAATTTATGGAAACAGACAAACCAGGGTTCAAATCCCGCCACTTGAAAGCGTTCTATGTTATTCACCTTCAAACCTTGCAGAAGCTCAGTTTTTCCCTCTGTGAAATGGGCATCATTATGATTACAGCAAGTATTCACTGAGTTTCTTATCTGCCAGGCACCGAGTTGAATGAAAGTCTCTTCAGATTTTATAATAGTATTCACTTCCGAGGGTCGTCGTGAGAATTAAACCAGATAGTTTAGGAAAAGCACAGAGCAGAATTCCTTGCACATAAAAGCATTCAATAAATGGTAGCTAATGGTAAAAATAAATCTATGCTCTATTACCTGGAAGCTGTGTAACTCTAAGCAAGATACATCACCTCTCTGAGCTCCAATGTACTCTCAAATTTGGCCAACTCATAGGGTCATGAGACTCAGCTGAGGTGGTGAATGTAGAAGTCTTTTATAAACTGTAAAGTGATTTATGGATTGTTAGTAAAGTTGTACAGAGATCCTGCCTTGCATCTTGCTACAGCTGCTGTTCCAATATTCCTGCCCATGTGAATTCTACCCATTCTTCAAGTCTGAGTTACATGTACATTTCTACAGGAAGCTTTATGGGGTCCCCAGGTGAGCTCCCTTGCAAGCATTCTGCCCTCTTTTCTGTAAGGCTGTTGCCTCATGCTTCACGCATTAAAAGCACAGGTCCTGGGTGTCCACCATGTGCCAGAATGTGTGCTAATCCTTAAGGAAATGGAAACAACATAAAACCTCCATGCTTAAATGATCTTTCCCCTTATAGTATCGTTACACAGACACTCAGTAACATTAGTGACTATTCATCGATTGCTTATATACATGAGCTCACTCCATCTCACAACAACTCTATGAGCTAAGTGTTACTCATTTTACAGTTGGAAAAATCAGGACCAGTGAGATCAAGTTACTTGTTGAAGTTCCCACCCAGATGTGTGACTCCAAAGTTCTTGTTGTTAACCTTGTCCCACACCTGGACTGGAACTTCCCCGAGGGTGGAGATAGTGCCTGTTTCATCTTGGTATACTTCTCATTGCAATAAAAAGGGCTTGCATTTAGTAGACAGCAAGAAACAAATGGTGCAGTGTCTTGCAATAGCTCTGAAGCACTCTACAGAGGTTGAGATGTTGATTTCGAACACTGAAAGCTTCTAGGGGGCAGTTTTCTCTAACTTTTGTATCTCTGACTCTGTCTACCCCAACACCTGGCATGCAGTGTGCACTAATAGCTAAATTTGCATCCAGAGCCACAAGACTTTCATTTTGCTGTTTTATTCTAGGAGATAGGGAGCAGTTGGTGGCCAAACCAGCTGATGAAGAAATTTCCAATTTTTTTCTTGGTACCAGTTTCAGGATACCCCACAGAGGGTTTTACAGGAACATGGTTACTCATCCCCACGCTCTATCCCCTGTGCAAAAGTATGGTGAGAATTAAAGTGGGGAGGGGGAGCTGAGGAGGCAAAAGCTTCCAAAACACGTCAGAAATTGACTTTTAAAAATACTTGGAAAAGGGAAAGTTTTCGATTGAGGTCTCAGACCTGCACTGATGTGGGCTCTGCACTCTCCACATTCTCCCCCTTCCGAAATGCAGGGCCAGCAGGAATAGGTGACACTTGCTGATATTTCTGATTCTCTGCCCTCCTTCGTGCTCCTGACAGCCTCAGCTCTGTGCCATGGGGAGACCTCGAACAGACTGTAACTGTGGAGTCAACCCAAGGGCTTTGACACCAAACAATGCATCTGTTCACATTGTGTAAGCGCTGGGGGAAAGAGCCACATGGTTCCAATTTAAATAGATTTACTCTGTAAGCTACCAGCTTCCAGGCTGGTCTTCTGACCTATGCCTTCCAGTTTGGCCATGCTCGCTCTGCACTCCCAGGAGACTCCTGGGCTCCCGTCTGATGACGATCCAGGGGGGCTCTGGGAGCTCTTTCAAAAGACAACAGCTCTGGGCTTCTCTGGGCTGGGGGGCCATTGGGGTAAAAACAGTGCTCTCCCCCTCCCCCAATTCTGTACGCATTAATGTTCTTCGTAGGGAAAGTATACACTGAAAACCTTGTTTTCCTAGAATAGAAAGAGCACAGGGCTTAGCAGTCAGCAAGTCTGGGCTTCAGCACCAGCTCTGCCATTTATCAGTTGTTTGACCCTGGAGAGTTTATATAACACTCTGAACCTCAGTTTCCCCATCTGTAAAGTGGAAGTAAGGAAATGATTTGTCTCTCAAGTCTGTCAATAGGGTGACATGTCAGCCACTCATTCATCTATTCAACAGACCTTGCCTGGGGGCCTTGCTGAGTAGCAGACACTGTTCTAAACACTGGGGACACAGAGACAGAGGGGACAGGTAAGATTCCTGTCACCTTTGTGTCTGAGGAGGGAGGACATGTGCCAAAGAAAGGTAATAAATAAGCCCATTTCAGATAGTGATACTTGCAGTAAGGGCACTAAAACAAGGCGAAATTATAGAGGGTGACAGGGCAGGGCACCATGTAGACAGGGATCAGGTGGAGCCTCCAGAAAGAGGGGACATCTGAACTAAGACCTGGATGAAATGAAGGGATCAGCCATACAAAGGTTTGGGACAGAGGGAAAGAACAGGTGCAAAGGTTCAGAACAGGATGAGCCCAGTGTGTTTGCAGAACAGAAAGGTCAATGCATGAGAAATGCTTTGAAAACTATGAAGCTCCGTGAGAAGGTGGTCTCTCTACTCTCGTTCTTTCTGCTGTGGAAGGAAAATATTCCCTGGTCACATGAATTACCTGACCAAAAAGTTCCACGGTCAAATGAATAGGGTAGCATTGGATTAAGGAGACCAATCAGGCTTCTTTATTGCAGGACTTCTCAGAACCTTGAATGTTCTAAAGCACATTGTGGATTTCCAGAAGGCGCTAAGGTGCACATCCTTTTCCAAACTCTGGATAATCTTTTTTCATAGGACATTTCCTAGGACTAGTGTCCTCCAGAACAGACTTTGGGGAGAGAGGCATCTCTACTTTTTCAGCACATCTGTCTGTACCTAGCTTACAGGCTTGAAAACAAGAAGAAAGGAGGAAAAGAGGTAATATGTGGCAGGCATTGGCTGCTGTGTTTTTTCTGCATCACCGTATTTGCATTCTCACAGTAACTCCTTGAGGTAGTATTATTATTCCCATTTTCAAGAAGAGAAGACTGAGGCTAAGGGAGTTTAAATCCCTCGCCCAGAGGACAGTACTCAGTGTGGACAGAATTCCAATGTGGATCTGCCTGTTGGTCCCCTAAATCCCTGCTCTTCTCTTTGCCTTCCTGTTAGTTGGAAAGGCTTGTGTGAACACATTGCCCAAAAATGATAAACACTACCCCAACTACCCTTCCTAAATAACTCCCTGACACAATCTTGTCATTTCTGAAACACAAAAACAAAGATCCAAACAAGGAAAACAGAACAAATGCCTCTAGCTGCATTGAAAAAAAAATGAGGTAAGAATTTATTACCAGTGATGAATGGTCAAGAAAAAGTAACAAAAGAAGGAAAAAAAAAATAACACATTTCTCAGGAGGAAGGTGGCTGATCAGAGGTATGGGAGAAGGGACACAGGTAATTTTATCAATGAAAAAAGGTAAGTAGGGGCTAGCCTGGTGGCATAGTGGTTAAGTTTGTGTGCTCCACTTTAGCAGCCTGGGGTTTGCAGGTTCGGATCCCAGGTGCAGACCTACACGCTGCTCATCAAGCCATGCTGTGGCAGCGTCCCACATACAAAACAGAGGAAGACTGGCACGGATGTTAGCTCAGGGACAATCTCCCTCAAGCAAAAAGAGGAGGATTGGCAACAGATGTTAGCTCAGAGCTAATCTTCCGTACCAAAAAAAAAAAAAAAAAAGGTGGAGACCCCCGCTGGATGCAGAGCTGATCAGATACTTAGAGATTTCTTTTCTTCTTATATATATTTTAATTTACTTACAGACTCAAGTTCCATATAGAGGTAGATCGTTAAGTGATCCGACAGCCAGCCCACTAGCTGCTGCCTCCGCTGTCAAATGAAATGGCCCCCAATCACGGACAGCAGAGGATCCCTGAGTAGGATTCCAACCAGGACAGGGAAGGCCAGCAGCTAAAGGGCTGGTGAGGGCTCCACTCCTGGTTCTGTCCCTTGGCTCATGGCTTAACTCCAGTGGCTGCTACTTAGCTGCAATTATGCCATAGGGAAGTAGAGATAATAACAGGCAGGTTGTTTATAAATCATTCTGGGCTGCTCAGATGGGGACAGCAAAAGAACAGCATGCTCAACACTGGAAAAGGAAGGGAAAATGCTCTTGGCACAAATGCTGCAGGATCACTTGGGAAGTGAGAATGAGAAAGAGTTATCAAGATAGGACGTGCTTTTTCTGCCCAAAAATAAGGTGACTGGGGGAAGTGGTCCTAAAAGGCTATTCTATCCTATGATTCTAGAGGCTGGTGATGTGGGGGAGCCAAGGTGAGATTTTGTAGAGTCAGGATGCAAGGTCAGTGGCCTGCAGGGTCCAGGCAGATGGTCTGAATGGCTAGGTGAGCTGAGTGGGGCACGCCCAGTGGGAGGAGTTCTCACTCCAGTCCGAGGTTGCCTAGTGGGACTGAGGGCTGCTGTTTCCAAGTCTTCTGATGTCTTTAAAAGGAGGAAGAATTCTGGTTTTTAGTATCAACTCTCCTGATACTTAAATGTTGGCAACTAGTTAAAGAAAATAACTAATGAGGGCCAAATAAACACAAGCTGTTTGTGGCCTAGTCTGGCCCATGCGACAGCAGTCTTGAAACTTCTGATGAGGAGGCAAGAACTCTGCCCTGGAAGCCCTGAGAACTGGATCCAAATGCTGGTTCTGCCCCTAATGGGCTGGGTGACTTTGGGAAACCCACTGTCCTTTCCTGGACCTCAGGATTCCCATCCTCAAATAAGGATGCAGAACCAGAGAAGCTCCTGGAGCCCTTCCAGGTTTCAGGGATCACGGTTTTATGAGGACAAAACTACAGAGGTATATCATTTCAGAGCCCTTTGGAATGGGAAAAAAATAGATGTTGATAATCCCAAGTATTGACGAGGATATGGAATAACAGGAACTCGGACAGACCACCGGTGGGAGTGTGAATTGGACAACAATTTGGAGAAGAGTCAGGCAGTATCCAATACAGTTGAAGACATACAGATGCTTAGGCACAGCTGTTCCATTTGCAGGTATATCCCCCAGACCAGCGACTCCCAACAGATGTTCTAAAAAGTGCTGATCCTTTTGTGGTTTGGAGATGTTGGGTGAGTCTGTGGGCAGCAATCTGAGGCCTCTAGTCTCTGGCCATGAGAAGCTTCATTGTGGGCTCCAAATCTTATATATGAATTCCTATCAATTAATCTAATGAGATATTCTATGCATGGGCTCCTATCCCTGCACAGATTCTCTGAACCCTTGGGTCCAGCCTATAGGTACCCCCATGCCCCAACTATAGTCTAAGTCCACCCTGGCTGGAAGGAGTTAATCTAGTCACAAGAAGAATGTATTTCCTCTTAAAGCTGGCCTTCTAAAAGTTAGCTCCCTATCAGAACTGCCTTTCTCTGGATGGGCTGGAAAAGTGGGAAGAGTTTGAGGTAGAGGAAGAAAGAATGCAAAAAATAAAAGGAGTGCAAGGAAGGAAAGAAAGATGAAAGGAAGGAAAGAATGGAGGAAGGAAGGAACGGTGGATGGAAGGAACGTGCTTAAACACATGGCCCACTGAATTTTATAACAAACTGCTTAGTTTCTGTTTAGAACCATAGGATAGATAGAGATAGGTGTGTGTGTGTGTGTGTGTTTGTGTGTGTGTGTGTGTGTTAGACACACTGGAGCCTCACTTCATGATTTTTGCTTTTCTCATTGAAGAAGCCTCTTAACTTCCCCCACCACCATCACTACACCCTCCCCCCCCATCTTTCCCCCTTCCTCTAACTCAGTGTGGAACTGGGATTTGGCCAGAATCCCACAACTGGACCTCTCATCAGAAACCTAATCCCGTTTTCTTGGGCCTCTGAATTTATTCCATGTACCACACCGGGACTGGAGACCCTTGAATCTAGGTCAGAACACACAGCCTGAATTGATTTTGCTGTCGTGGTGCTTCTCCCACGGCAGCCCCCTAGAGATCACGCTGCTCTCAGGAGAACAGAAAGAAAAGGAGGAGGAAAGAAAAGGGGTGAGAGAGGAGGGAGGGGGGTAGGAGATGGAGGAGAGGGCGAGGAAGGGGAGGGAGGAGAGAAAGCAAGAAAGAGAAGAGATGGGGAGGAGAAGGGGAAGGAGAGTGGGAGGGAGGAGAGGAAGGGATGGGTGTGGGGGGTAACAGCCCCTTTCTCTACCTGGGAAACAGCTGAGAGTAAAGTGGGCTGTCTCTACTACAGCCAGCTGACTCTGTGCTATAAAAACTGATGCTATTTACCTTGGTGTTTTGCGAATGAAGAAAAACATCCCATGGCTTTTTACAGTTGTTGCTTATTTTTCTTTTCTTTCCTCCTGGTTTGTTTGTTTTAATGCATTTACACGTTTGCACAGTCCTGCCTATTTGGGTAAATGCCTCTTCAGCTCCCCAGGAGTAGCTGCCATCCTTTTCCCCTCTGGAGCATTCAGGACGAGGTCCCGCAGCCCTGCAGCCTCAGCCCTGGGGGCTCAGCCTGTCCCAGCCGGGTCCAAACTCAGGATCAAGCCAGCCGAGGCCCTCAGGGCTGTGTCTCCATCACTTGACTCAGTTTCACTGACTAAATGCTCACGTGTGAGCAGCCATGAAAAGTCCACTTGTCTCCTAGATGTGCCTGGCTCTGGTGGGCAGAACATGGGTTTTAGGGGCAGACAAAGCAGGATTTTGCCTCTTATAGCCTAGAAGGCCTTGACTCACTCACACAGGACAGGTGTGATAATGAAATAAGATGATGAAATAAGATAATAAAATGTTGGTCCCTTCCTCTTCCCCCTTGCCTCTCCTAGCTCCTGGGAAACTTAGACTTTTAAAACTAGAAAGAATCATGGAGAACATTCAATCCATCATCATCATTTTATAGATGGGGAAACTGAGGCCCAGAGGGGAGGAGTAGCTCACAGTCATACAATGAGTGGAAGTCAGGGCAACGCTTTGCCCCAGATCAATGTTCTTCCACAACAAGTTAAAGAACTCAACAAATACTTATCGATTTGTTTCCGAGGTTAAACACTTCTTACGCTTTACTTCTGGCATAGGAACTGTTAATTAAGGATTCAAAGAAGTCAGGGCTGGCCTCAGTCAACTTGTGGATGGTCCGGGTGGCTGGTGAAGGATGGGAAAGCATTGTAGAAAAGGTCTGAAAGATTTGCATTTTCCATCGACATTGTTTCCCTGGGTTCTGATAATTAACTTATTTTTATAGTCTGGAGAGCCAGGGATGAAAAAGCCCTCTTAGGATGAAATACAACAATGAGTGATATTTAAGGAGCTCTTTTGCCTCCAAATGATTGCGACAGACTTTGCACAACAGAAGCTAGAGACAGTGGGTGCAAAACAATGTGGGTTTTGCAACCACCTTTTGTGTCCTCTGTGGTAGCAGGGGCGTGGGAAAGGCTGGGTGTCCCCCCTCCCCACTCCTTTTCCCTCTCCTTGCTCCCAGGTAGACACGTCAGAGCTGAAAGGCCTTTCAGAAGGCCTCACTCTGGGGATGCCCACTCTTTCTTTCTTCTTCTAGCTCCCATTAAACAAACTTGAGATCTGCTGTGTGACCCTGGACCAGTCCTTCCCCTTTGGGGCCCTGGAATTCTAGAGGGTGACACCAAAGTTTGGACACTCCGGGCACGCTAAATGATTTCTGAAGCTCCTTCCAGCTCTAACTCTAGGAACTTTATGCAGAATTCTGTGCAGAAAAGGACCACCATCACATCAGAAAGTGGGGGTAAATATTCTTTATTAGTACATTATCTTTGCACAGTGCCTAACAATCTGCAAGAGCACATCTACGGTGCACCATTTAACCTCACGACCACCCTATGGAGTCGATGCTATCATCCGCTTATACCAAGATACAAAACTGAGACTCAAGAAAGTGAAGTGACCTGTTCATGGACACACAGTCAGGAAGGGGCGGATTCAAACCCAAATAAAAGTCTCATCGAAGCTCATATTCTTCCAGGAAACACTATCCTCTCTTAATTCCAAACTAGGTGCATTAAGAGACGCCAGATCAAAAGCACGGATGGAGTGATGTTACGCAGTTAACAGACAGACTCCTAGACCACTGCGGGGATCTCAGGAGCTAGGTTTGGGGAGGACACAGAGATTTACCCATCACCGAAACACACGGTGAAGTACCAGTCCCCCAGCAGCCCCCTAAATTTAGGAGGGTTATACCTCCTGCCGATGCCACTTAGGAAGCAGAATGTTCCAGTATTTCAGAGCTGGAAGAGAGCTAATCTATCTATCCTCTCTTTTTTCAAATGAGGATGCTGAGGCCCAGAGAGGGAAAGTGATGTTCCCAGGATCCCCCTGCAAGCCAGTGTCAGCTCTGAGACTGCAAGCCAGTCCTATTTATGACTGAAGGAGGTCCTATTTCCACCACACATCCCTGCTTTCCTCCCTTACCTCTGGAATTCAGAGATGTGTGGGCCTCCCGAGCCCAAAGACAGAGCCTAGCAGAGGCCAGAGGATGGAGAAGGGAGAAACACACAGACTTTTTACAGCAACACAAATAGCTACCCAGTTCCAGAATTCCTCCATCTCCACTTGGCTGCAAAACAGCCCAGGGTGAGCAGACCCAGGGTGCCTTACCTCTGCTCGGCAGAGCTGTAGGTCTCCCCTCTCTGGCAGCTGCTCAGGGTGACGGGGTCAAAGTTGTCGAAGGAGCGGAGGGCCACCCCCGAGATGGCGACCAGGGGTGAACTGAAGCTCACACGTACCGCCTGGCTGTGGTAGAAGGGCTGGCTGAGGTCATGGACCACAGGGATAATCAGGGGATTGTTCCTGCAGCTCAGGACATGGAGGCCTGTCAGGGGAGACAGAGGGCCGAGGGGCCAGGCTCATTACTCAAGGCCAGTCACGCCCTCCCCAACGGGCCCTTCCCGAAGCCCCCAGACCCTTTCATGTCACTGCACAAAAGCACCATTGGGTGGCCAGTGGGGATGTTGAGTTTGATTGAAAGTTTCTTTGTCTGCCTTTTTCTCTTAGTTCCAAATCTTTCCAATCCTCTTGCCTCCCTACCCCCTAAGCTTTCCCTTCACCTAGCGCCCACAGCCCCTCTCCCTCCCCCAAAGGGCCACCCCTTGACCTGCTAAGCATCACTGGCCCTCACCTCCCTCCCACATTGCATTAGGGGTGGATGGTCTGAGTTGCTAGTTTTCAGGCTGCCTTCCCAGTCAGTCATAAAGATGATGGAAATAATTCACAGCAACAGGCTGTTCCTGGGCTAAAAAACGTGCTCTCCTTGGTAATCTGGGAACCTGGGAGCAGCCCTGTGAGGTAAGAACATCTGTGCCCATTCTGCAGAGATAAGAGTGAGAGTCCTGGGCAGGAAGTGGCTTCCCAAAGGGACACAGAACAGCCAGCGACATAAAGTCCAGGTAGAATCCAAGCTTGCCTCACTCAAAAGCCCTGAGGTCTATCTAGTAGAGGAATAGGTCCCGAGGCTTCGAGAAGGAAGGGAGAGGGGCAGAGAGAAAAGGCACATCCAGAAGTAGAGGAAAGGGAGTGATGGGGTGGGACAGAGTTGGTGAAACGGAAGCTGGCTTTGGTGTTCAACGGACCTCATCGGTTCAAGACTTGGTTTAGCCACTTCCTAATTATGTGACTCCAGCAAGCCCCTAAAACTCAGTTCCTGCATCTAAAAAGTGGGATAATCCTACCCATGTCCTGGCTGGCCTGCTATGTGGGGACATGAAACTCCCCCTTCCATGGTCCGCTCTCTCAGAGCTATGAAGCCTCTGCAGGGATGCCCGGATGCTGAGGACAGAGGACAGGGGACCCGGTGGGGAGGGACAGGGCCATGTGGAAGCCTCAGGCCTCAAGTAGTGGGATCCAAGGAGCTTCCCTGGAACCAGACTTTTCCCCACTCTGCTGAAAAACCTCTCCTTGGAGCTCTTTGCGATGCCAGGACAGCTATGAAAATATTTGCTTCTCACTTAGGGAAATTTCCCAGGAATCCAGATAAGTCCAGAGGGGTTTTCTTTCTCTTCCTTATTAACATGTTCCCCCTTGCCTTTAAAACTAACTAAATAAGTAAACATAAAAACAAAACAAAAAACCCGCCTTGCGCCCTTGGCTTCTGCTTGACCCTGAAATGACCTTGCCTGCTTGCTTCCTACGGTCTTTGAAATGAGCTCCCTGTGGAACGGTGGGGGCACAGCTTTGAAGCCTGGATGTCAGTGCTGGCCTGGAATTCCAAACAGCCGGAATGGCTGCCCAGAGGTATATTGGTCAGGGTGTACTGGAAATGTCGAGGGGGTAAGAGGACTTTCTTAATGCCGGGTCTTGTGCTAGACACAGTCACAACAGCCTCTGTAATAAGTGGCATCGCTGTCCCCATTGTGCAGAAGAGGAAAGCGAGACTCTGAGTGATGGAGTGTAAGGTCAGGAAAATCGCTCGTGTTCTTAAGGTGGGTGAACAGCAGGGACGGGATTCAAACCTTGGCTGTCAGCTCTGGAGTCGGGGTATTTCCTCTGTGCCATGCACATACGGGTATGCAGAGGAGTGCGACAAGTGACAACTCTGGCCCTTGTCCTCCCCCTCGGCCCTGTGTTGGGGCAGCTTCTCAATAGCTAGGACCTGCATTCCTCACTTGCCTTCTACTCCTGAATCTGACCTTTTCTTATTCCTACTCCCATGGGAAAGTCTGGAGGTTGTGCTAAAGACGTGGTTATGACTTTGGGGGCATTCATGGACGCCTCTGCCTATAGGATAAAGAGCAGTGGGCTACCATCCCCAAAACCTGACTACTGTCTTCCTGGCTACTGCCATGTGACCCGGGGTCTCTCAATGCCTCTCTTCAGGCCTCAGGTGCTGACATGTATAATGGGAAACTGCGTTTGCTCAGTCTCCTTCCCAGGGTCTTCTGAGGATCATATGGGATGCCTGAGGTTAAAGGTGTCTGGCAGAAGGGAAGTACTGAAGGGAAGACTTTGACATTGTCCTCTCATCCCCAAATCTGCCAGACCTAGACTTCTCTGCATATACAAACACATCCTTATTTGAAGGCAACCAGAATGCCAAATAGAAGCAAGAAAGCAGAAAGAGGAAGGAAGAACTGATTCTCAGCTGATCCTCACAACCACCCACGGGAAGATGTGGAAGCAGGTACCAAGAGCAAGCCATGCCCAAGGGAACATGCTCACCTAGATCGTGGCTCTGATCTTTGGTATCAAGCAGCTGGACACTGATGGTCTCCTGCTTTTGGTCCCCATAATAGGTCCCATCGGTCACCAGGTGGACAATGACAGCTGCAGCAACCATTGGCTGAGAAAAGTACGCCTGAAATGCAGAAGACATAGGAGGGTCCCTGGTGCACTCAGTCACGTGGTGGGGAAACAGTCATAGGCTGGGGTTTCGAGGAGAATCTTCTAATTCAGGAACCAGACTATTCATCATGGGCCCATGACAGGAACAGAGAGGCAGAGAAACCTCACAGTGAAGAGCACAGGCCCTGAGCTCAGAAACTCTGTTCCAATCTTGGCTCTGCTCCTTCCGAGCTGTGTGATGTTGAGTGGCGGCTGTGCTGCTCTGGACCGAGGTTCCCTCACCTCTAAGTGGTGGATTAAGTAAACAGCTACATCACAGGATGGCTATGAGGCTCCAGTAAGATAATGAGAGTAAAGTGTCTGGCACATACCAAAACCACAAAAAATGGTACTTATTATTATTCGCCACTTCTACATGCTAACCTCTGTACTAGGCACCTAGGAGACAAAGCTATTTAAGACCTGGCCCTTACATGTCTGTGGACTTTGGAGTTCAAAGTAGATTAGTGATATGCAAATCAAAATTCAGTACAATGCACAATCCTTAGTCAGGAGGATGGACCCATAGACATCTATGTAATACCATGTGACAAGAGCCATCCAATATATGCCCAAACATGTGCAGGACTAGAAAGGAGAGAATAGTCACTTCTCTCTGTGGAGATCAGTAAAGACTTCAAGGAGGAGAAGGCAATTTAAAAGGCCTTGAATAATGAATAGGAAGTTCCAAGCAGACAAAAGGTATCCGGACTCTTTGCCAAAACTAGAGTGACTTGGGGGCATTCCATGAGCAATTACGGGATTCCGTTTCAGGAAGCATCCCACTGCTACGTGTTTTGTTCTCTGTCCTTACAATTAACACCCTCAGTAGGTAGACAAACCATCTTGAGAAAGGGTCATGGGAGTCAGTGTTTCCTGGGGGCCAGTGCTGCAGATTCTAGGGCTCTCAAAGCTTTGGCTTACCCAGAGCCAGAAAGTGGTCTGAGCCAGCTGGGAGTATGGGTAGCTGATGGTGCAAGGGTACCAGGCATGCTGGGAAATGCCTTCACTGAGATCTATCACCTTGGTTCGACAAACCTAGAAAAAGATAAAGAAAATAAAATATTTTAGAGGGTCTCAGAGGTTGACTTAAATTCAATGTGATAAACCTTTATCATCCATCTATTTTGTTCTTGGCACCACAGGAGGAAACCAGGATGAGTACACAAGAGTTTATTCCGGGAGCCCACATTCTAATATAAAAGAGGGAAACCTTAATGCTGTTAAGTAAAGAACAGATAACATGTTTTGGTGGTAAAGGTGACAGAGAAATTTTTGTGGGGACAAATCCTGGAGGAGGTGACATTTGGGTCTGGAAGAATATGGTAGAGATAAGAGGTATTGCAGGTAGAGGGAACAGAAGCAAAGGCTCAGAGGAAAGCAGAAACTCAGAATGCTCACGTTGTGATAAGCTGCCTGGTATTTTTAGAGCTTGGGGAAAGTGGCCAAAAAGGAATGTTGAGGGGTCGGATCTCACATAGTCTTGAATACCAAGCAGACTATTTTAGAACAAATCTGTAAGTTGTGCTCAGAGCTATATTAATGACAGAGCAGAGCAAAGACTATGACAATATGAGCATATTGAGCATATGAGCATAGAAGACAATATGTGCTTCCTCCAAAGAAAATCAATATATGTACATATATATACACACATACACACATTCATTCTCAATGATAGAGATATCAAATGTTGTTAAAAGAAATATATATGTATATATATTTATGTATATATATATATATACACACACACACACACACACATTCTCAATGATAGATATATCAAATGGTGTTAAAAGAAACATGAAGCATGTATACACAAATAGAGTTCTTTAAACTTAGGATTTTCTTGTGTATCCAAATGTTATTTCATTCCTTATTTCATTGGTTCATTCATTCATTCAAATCATATTTATTGAGCAACTGCTATTTGACAAGCACTCTGGGACAAGACGGTGGACAAGACAGGTGCTGAGGAGTTTAGAGTGACAATGTGTGCAGATATTCATCAAGTAATCACATATGCATACGCAATCATAAACTGTAGGGTAGAAAACAGAAAAGTGCTAGAATGGAAAAGGATAGGAACAGCTGAGTTTTTCTTGAGATTGGTCAGACCTTTTGCAGAAGGTCATCTCTAATTAGTGCTTTTCCTCTGATCTCTAATGTGGTTTCCCTCTCAAAACCTCCCTGTGAACTGGGGCCTGTCATTCCACATCTGCAGGTCTCAGTCTTCTCATTCAGAAGTAAAGCTAAGGCTGACCTAGAGAATTCTAAGGTCTTATAAGGTGAAAAAAGAAAGAGAGATAATCTAATCTCAGCCATACAAAACAAACATACACATGCAAAACAAACAAAAAAGAAAAGAAAAGAAAGGAAAAAAGAAAAATTATATACAAGGATCAAGGATATCCATGCCAGCAATATCTATAGTAGCAAAAGATTGGGATAGTTTATATGTTCATCTCTTGGGGAAGGGGTGCATAAAATATGATATATTCACGTAACAGAATTCTATACAGCAAAAGAATATTAATAGGACTGAACTAGATTCATATACAAGGATCATACTAAAAATATTTAACAGCCAGTTCAGAATGAGTCTTGGCCAATCAAAACAGAAGCCCTACTCATGGGTTCATAGACATTAACACGGAGAGATCACAAAACATAACATTGATTGAAAAAATGGAGCAAGGTGAAGACGGATAAGTACATTATGATGTCATTTATAAAAATCACACAAAGCCCAGGGATTCATATAGATGAGTGTAGAAGAATTAAAAATGGAGCGGAAAAGTTATACATCAAATTCACTAATCAAAGTCGGGTTAAAACACATGGCTACATTGTAATCTACAATTACAAGCATCAATGCTTTTTTTTTAAATAAGCTTTTTGTTTTGGAGTAATTTTATATTTACAGAAAAGTTGCAAAGATAATACAGAGAGTTCCCTTCATCCAGTTTCCCTTAAGGTTAACATTTCATCAGTTCATTCTTGCAACCTCAAATAGGGGAAGATACGTTGCTCAACTAACTTTGGAGAATCACACATTGTCAAAGTTCTGCAATGGTGAGCTGGCTTGGATTTAGGAGACCTGGTTCTGGTCCAAACTCCCTAAAATTTGATGTGTAATTATGACTACCTTGCCTCTTTAGACTCTGTTTATCTTTCACATTTGAATGTTGGATTAGATCATAGGTTGTCAAGGTATCGCCTATGGATTCCTAGAGTTCCTTGGAGGTGTCAGTCTGGGGGTCAGGATTGGGAATGTTCTGCTTAGTTTCTGCTCCACTGCTTCAACCAGAGCATCTCCACTCGTTTGTTTTATATATCAAGCTGCCTTGTAGTATTTCATTTAAGAAAAAAGCTTCACGGCTTTAAAAACACTGAAAAGTATTGTCATGCACCACATAACAATGTTTTGGTCAACAAGGGACCACATATACGATCCCATCCCTTATGGACCCATTAGATTAGTACCACATAGCCTAGGTGTGTAGTAGGCTATACTATCTAGGTTTGTGTAAGTAGACTCCGATGTTTGCACAATGACGAAATCGCCTAACGACACATTTCTCAAAACGTAACCCTGTCATTAAACGATGCATGACTGTATTGAAACTTGCCCATTGCCAAACTTCCCCTTACCCCTTCCAAAAGAATCAGTGGGTCCTGGGAATACAGTATTCATTTCCTAAATATCACAGGTAACTTCTTAAGGAGAGTAAAGGTGCCAAGAATCAACCATCTCATTGGCCAGGAATTAGGTGATGGCTTTAGTTATTCAAATGTCTAGAAGCTTAATACTCAGGAGACCACGGGTAAAACATAACCACTTTATGGGCTGGAAGACATCTTCAAGTTTATTTATTTTTCTCAAAAACAACTGGGACAGAGCTTAGGCAGATCTGCCAGTGGATTGTGTTACATTTTACAACAGTGCAAGACTTTGCATAAACTATCTATGGCATTTGAAATTCAGGCCAGCAATTCGACATGTATCATTTTGGAATTCTTTCCCCTTGTGTTCTTAGCTGCCTATCCCCAAGCAGAGCGTGGCGGAGCACATCTCTGGAGTGCTGGAGTAGGGGCTTTATCTCTGAATCTAAAGCAGTCACGGTCAGAAAGGTCTCAGACACGAACAAAGCCCTCTTATTGCTTAAATACAATTTCCTCTTATCTTGTCAGCTCTATCAGCACTAGACAGGGTTTTAGAGGATCACGCTGTTATTTTATTCTCTGTTTTCCTATTTAGTTTTGCGTTTGTTTCAGGCTGGCTGTGATCCTGAGCAGGGACAATCAAAGCAGAACAGAAAGGAACAAACAAATCCAGCTGAAACTTTGCCCAAAGCCCCAGTTGATCTTAAGACCATCTATGTTCCTGGGGAGGTGCGGGGAGGTTGCAGGGGAAGGGGGAAGCAAGCACTTACAAGCCACCTGCTTTTATAGATCTTGCATGAATTTGCTCATTCAGTGGCCATTTATTGAGGGCATATGGGCACTGGGCTCCAAAGCCCTGAGAGAAAATGGCCACAAAGTTAGTCACTACTGATACAGGTGTGATCCCAAGGTGACTGATTCTATGGGGATGCTCTGTTCTCATCCACTCACCTTTTGGCACCTTCCAAAAAAGCAAATCCAACTCCACAAAGCATTACTGAGCAATGTAGAGTTTATCGAACATTTTGTAAGGGGACAAGCAGGAGGGTTACATCACACACTCCATGTGGACTCAAGCTCTCCCACCATCATCCTGAGTTCCTCTTCACTTATCATCTCCCTTTCTCCAGTTTCTTCAGTGTCACTGGCTCCAGTGACCTTCCCAGTCTCTCTCAACCTCCTCCCCCTTCCCTACATCCCTCTCAAGTCTCCTGCAGAGCCACTCTGCTCTCCCTTTGATTCTCTACTCTTGCACACACAAATCTTTCTGATGATGCCAAGGGCTCTACCCAGCCCCCCACCCCCAGAGATGTCAGGGGGTTGAACATCGTAACCTTTTCTCCTCTCTGTCACACTGGTATGAACAAGATCTGATCCCTCCCTTCACATCACTCACTGTCTTATGGAACATCTCAAGAGGGGTCTAGAAACATCAGCAGCCTCTAAACTTCAGGTTCCACTAGAGAGATAAAGATGGGGTCTCCTATAGCTCAAGCCTGTCTTTCTGCATTGCCCATGTTCATTACAGCATTACTCACAATAGCCAAGATGTGGAAACAACCTACATGTCCATCAGTAGATAAATGGATTAACAAAATGTGGTATATACATGCAATGGAATATTATTCAGCCTTAAGAAAGAAGGAAATCCTGCCATGTGTGACAATATGCATGAACTTTGAGGACATTATGCTTAATGAAATAAGGCAGTCACAAAAGGACAAATACTGCATGATTCCACTTATATGAGGTATCTAAAATAGCCAAATTCATAGAATCAGAGTGAAATGATGATTGCCAGGGACTGGAGGTCATGGAATAGGAAGTTGCTAAGCAATGGGGATAAAGTTTCAGTTAAGCAAGATGATTAAGTTCTAGAGATCTGCTGTACAACATTGTGCCTATAATCAACAATATTGCATTGTACATGTAAAAAGTTGTTAAGAGGGCAGATCTCTTGTTAAGTGTTCTTATCACAATAAAACGAAATAAAATATATTATTTTGAATGGCTAAAATATTGATATTCACTAAATGAATGAATAGATTAATAAATAAATGATCTAGTGAAGGGAGTAAAAAAAGAAATTCATATAATGTCGCTAGGCAAAGAACAGATGTGGTTGGGCTGGCAAGCACCCTCACTTAGGTCTTCTTGGAGTTGGAGGAAGGATTACCCAGCATCTTCTTGATTACTCCTTGGACAGAGAACTCACTTCCATTTATAGACAGCCCAGTTTACCTTTAGACATCTCTTCCCAACAGCCAGGGCTAGATGTCTGGCTGTACTTTCTCCTCCTCTTTCCTCTAAGTAGCAATGTTTATAAGCTTTCTTATTTTAGAGTTTTAGAGTTAGAGGGACTTGAATAGATC